TTTCCCCAAATTTCACTTTAAGAAAAAGCTGACCTAAATGATTACTATTAAAGTAGTTGGATCAAGTTTGTTTAAATGCTTAGGGGTCAGAAGAACAGGACTGAAACATCAGGTATTATTACAGATAATCTGTTTCCAGTCAACTCATTGTACTTCTATGCATCTGTAGGAATTCGGACTGAGAATCTCTAGTATGTAATCTGTATATGGATATTAATATTTTATATTTTAATCATATTACATTAATATTTTATGTTTTAAAATACCACACTAAATGATTGAAAAGTTCACAAACCCCACTGGTTTTTAATGGTATTTTTTAAATACTTGCACAGAATTGATTAACGTGTCATCAGCCAAAGAAAATGATATTCTAGGTCCAGATTGATCTGTTACATTGCACTGCTCTGGTTGACTATGTTGTCTTCTCTGTTAGTATCTCCAGATAAAAATGGATTATACTCTTTGGAGCGGTCCATAACATTAATGATGAACGTAGATTAATTTCTATTCAGTTTAAGATTTGTTGTGTCTGGATGCAGGGGGTAATGCTCTTACATCCATGATTTTTGATCTAACATAGCTATAAGCTCCTGCTGCTTCCTGAATCAACTCCACTCACTGTGCTGCCGACTAATGCTTTGGAAAACATTTTTACTGCACCTTGGCTATTCTTTCACATCTGTATGCAAATATATTTGCCTTTTGTTGTCTTATGCTCAGTTTGTTTGTTGATTGCCACATTTCTCTTGTGGCTCTGGCCCTACCAGGAACTGTATTCTCATGCAGTTAAAAATGAGTGCAATCACTGGATGGAACTGTTACAACAGGACTTTAGCTGCAGACAGTATCAATGTCGGTATTATCGGACAGGGGTTTGCTTGAGCAGCTAAAAATTCTTTATCAGCCTAGTGAAGGTGACACAAGCAACATTCCTGAAGGCCTTTTCTGTTTGTGTGTCTTTTATTCTGTCAGTTAAGCTTTCCTAGGCAGTGATTCCTTCATAGTCTGAGTTCGGTTGTTTAGTAAACAGACAAGTGTGATGTGTGGTTTTGCTGTGACACGGGTCTACTTTTCTGTATGTGAACAGATGTTTACACCATTTCTACTCTTATCTGTGTTTCTAATTAATTCATAAATAAACCCTACAGAAAGGTAGTTGTCATGATTTAACAGCTGGCAACTAAGCCCCACAGAACCGCTTGCTCACTCCCCCACCAGCAGGATTGGGAGAGAATGGGAAGGGTAAAAGTGAAAAACCTCATGGGTTGAGATAAAGGCAGTTTAACAGGTAAAGCAACAGCCACCCACACAAGCAAAGCAAAACTAGGAATTAATTCACTGCTTCCCAGTGTTCAGCCATCTCCAGCCATCACACATAATGATGAGTTGGGAAGACAAACACCATCACTCCAAACATCCCCCCTTCCTCCTTTTCCCCCCTCACTTTATGTGCTGAGCATAGTGTGGAATATCTCTTGGGTCACTTGGGGTCAGCTGTCCCAGCTGTGTCCCCTCCCAACTTCTTGTGCACCCCCAGCCCCCTCACTGGTGGGGTGAGAATCAGAAAAGGCCTTGACCCTGTGCAAGTGCTGCTCAGTAATAACAAAAACATCTCCATATTATCAACACTGCTTTCAGCAGAATCCAAAACACAGCCCCATACTATGAAGGAGCTGCTGTGAAGAGATTTATCTCTATCCCAGCCCAAACCAGCCCAGTAGTTTGAATTGGTTGCTTGTTCATTTCTTAATTCTCCTTAAGTTCTAGGCTCATTCTTTAATTATTCTTTACAAAGTTCAAACATTCAGCTGTCAGTGAAAAAAGAAAGTTCCCAGCCAGTACAAGCCTGATTCACCACGAGAATGTATTGTCTTGGAAAAGTCAAAAGGAAGATATTAGCTTCAGTATATATTTTAAGATCATAAAAGGTAGGACTCTGACAAGGCAGGATATACTGTATTTTAATAAAGACATTATAGCACCAAGCCTTGTACGTGTAAATGCTGAAACTATCTGGTGAAGTGAACACAGCCCAACTGCAGATACTTTAATAGTGTGAAGGGCCTCCTAGGTGGGGCTCTACAAATGTAAGATTTCAGTTAAATTAAAGAAAAAAAATTAGAGAATCCAGAAATGGAGGAACGCATTTAGACTTCTGACTGGAAGAGTTTAGGGTTACGGTATATTAAAGTAATAAGTATCTGTCATCTGTATTAGAAGGTTAGACACATACAGTGAATATGTTAATGATTTGGGAAGTTGCAAATAAACAAAAAAAAGCATATGATGATCACCAGTTAAATAAGTTACTGGGGTTTGTACCCTCAAAGCATTAACTCATTTTCTCTCCTAATTTTTTTGTAACATTAGATTATTTAGAAATGATCTTCAAAGAAGTAAGGACATATTTGCACTGCTTTCTTTATAGTGGATAAAAAGAAAATATAGTTTCAATCTTTTAAACATACATCTAAAATAAGGCTGTTATCTATACTATAAAACTTTGAAGGCTGACTAGAAAACAAATCCAATTATGGCTTAAGCACTTGAGAAAGTGAAATCTGATTTAATTACTTCTTTCAAAAGAAAATTACATCTTTCAACTTTCTATTATTAAAACTTTACAGTTATTTTTATCACTCTAAAAAAAAAAAAAAGAACAAGTTTGGAAGAAAAGCTCCCTTTATGGAGTTCACACTCGAGTCTTTGTTACTTAATACTCAAGCTAAAAAAATTTAAGTCCTTATAAAAAATTCAGACTATCTAGAAAATAAGCCAGAAAAAATGCTTTATGATAGATGGTATTTGTGTTTTTAGATATGGGATTAGAAGAAAAATTAATTTAAGCATTAGAGCGAAATGGGCATGATTTTTTAATTTCATTATCTTTATAAATAAAGGTCATCACTATTGCTGAACATGCGTAAAAATAACAACAGGCCTTACTAAATGCGGTGAAAACATGCTATTATGACATTTGGAAGTTATGAAGTCACATTTCCATTTAACTTAAGACTTTTGGAGCTGTTCTAGGAGTGAATGTAGCTTTACATGTAGCTTTGCATTTGCAAGAGGGCTAGACACAGGGGCGTTGCTCTTGGTGCTGCTCAGATGAGATGTACAGCCTCTGACCAGTCCTCAAGAGAAAGGGCTGAAGGACAGATGAGACAGAACATGGTACCCTGTGCAAATAAGATTCAGATGTTTGCTCAAATCCCATTTGCCTCCTTGGAAAAGCAGTACTTCATGTGTACACATTTGGCTTAGTTTCTGAATATAAAGTCCAGTATGATAACCAGTTGCCTTAAGGGTGCATTTCTCAGGAAATTAAACTGGAATCTTAAAAACTTCATACACCTATATTAAAACACTGGACTGGCAGATATTCATTTTACAGAAAAAATTCAAAGATATTTTCAAATTTAATCGTGTGTGACCCTAATGGAATAAACAGTGACAATTAATTTCTTGCTGGGCAGAATTGTAAGAGAGGCCATGGAAGGAAATGAATGTAATTTATATTAAATTGAGATAACTTTTTAAAATTTTAGTGTAAAACCCACCCAAAGATCTCTGTAATAAAAAAAATAAAAAGATGTTCTACTCTCACCTTAAAAGCCTGTCAAATATATACTGCTGGCCCAAGAGAATATCACCCAATTAATACCACTGGTTTTGATGAAAAGTATGAAATGCATGAAGATGTTTATGAAAACTAGTAGCTTTAGGTGGGTAAGGTATTATTTTTCTAGTATTTAAGCACTTATTTCTTCATTAGACACTGACTTCTTTTGGCCAGTGATATTTAAGATATCTTAGTTTGAACATAAAAAAATGTATAGGTAGAAGGACTTAACCAAGGGAAATTTAACTTCTGTTCTGAGGAACAGAAGTAAACTGAAACAGTGGAAAGGAAGAGAAGGATAATATTTGTATGAAGAAACTTCTTGTGAAATATTCAGTAGAGGTTTTTGTCTCCAGATACACTCAAACATGCATTTCCATTAACATGTATCATGTAAATAAGCTTTGAGAAGTGAGACCTCAATATGTATGTTGTGGTTATGCCCTGTAATCTAAATATACTTGGATTACTTCAAATATTATTACTAAGTAGTAGTAACTTTGTCAGATTACTGGTTTTCTTTATATTTGCCAATTTGCCTCTTGAACATTTTTCTAAATTGAATTAATTTTGTGTGAAGTGAAAATACTTTTTTTATTGGGCCTTGCTGCTGCTCACTGCCTAAATCAGAAAATATGTGACAGACAACACCAGAAACTCTTCTGCTTTTGAGGGAAGTGTCTCATCAGGACAGGCTGCTAGAGAAGAAGGCTAGATACTTAATAATGTGAATTCCATTTCTGATTTGGTGAACACCAGTGCTCAGGTTAAACAGTGGGTTTCTAACCACATACTCTGAGTTTTAACCAGAAATGCTGAAGGCTTTTCCTGTTTAAAATACTTCTGTGTTTTCACGGCTAGGCTTCACAAACAAAGGTTTGGGAAACACTTCTGTGTTTGTAACATAGATAATTATCACATTAGAAGAATAGTTAATTATTGTTTCTTTTAGAAGTATTAGAATGACAAATTTGTACAATTCGTGTATTGGCTTTTTTTTGTCAGTGATTTCAGGTACATGCAAAAATTACAGATGGAGTGACGTTAGCAAAGGGATACCAGCTCTCATAGTGGGCTAATGGAGATAACAGGGTCACCCATTTCTGTTGCTGTCACTCGAGGGTTTTTGAAGGTAATCTCTGTGTGACTCATCAGTCTTTCAAAGCACAGAATGCTATTTCAGCCAAATCATAAAAGTAATATGATGCTTTGTTAGTGTTTGAACCATGAAAGACCTTTTAATATTTTGTTGAGACGCATGTGTTAAATCTACTTTTATTTAAATGGTAGAGCAAAGCAAGAGGTGTGTTACACAGGGTTATGATTACTGGTAAAAATAATTTTATAACTGTGTCCTTTGCTCCATGCACAGGGAGTTGGCCTCTCAATTCATGGACATTTTCGAGTTGCTACAGAAAAGACACTTTTTGCAATGCCAGAAACAGCAATAGGTAAGCATTTTATCACGGGTTAATATGTCTAAGGTTTCACTGTTTGTGTAATCAGGATGAAACCTATTTGACTGAAAGCTGTGGTGGTAATGAAAGAATTTTAAAAGGGAACTGGAGATGACCATATATGGAAAGTATTTTCTATTAAATTAACAGAAACTTACCTACATTCTGGGAGTTGATCATTGAGGTTCCTAACTGTCTAGACTGATGCAAAGACTGTCAGGATACAATATTTCAGAAACAGAAGCAGATCAAGGAACTAAGTCTGTGCTACAGCTGTAGGCAGATAGAGTCTGAAGATCCCAGTGCAGCTACTTCAGCTTTACCTTGGGGACTCTTGAGTCCAGCTGCCTGTACTACACAGCTGCTCTGCAGTGTTAATGAGACAGATTTTGAAATTCCAGCTTTTCTTGTAGATTATTAATGTAAGCCCATTACGGTTGTGCAGAGGTTGTGTCTAGGGGAGATCCCAGTGTCTTCAGTAGTGTCTGTTTTTTTAAACAGCAGCACGCTCCTTGTGTTTTCTAATGTTTGATCCTACAGTTTTTTTGTCAACTCTGAGATGTACAAAAGAAAATGTAGCTCAGAGCTACATAAAGATGGAGGTACGGCTCAAGAAAAGTCAGTCAGATTAAAGGCAACCCTCCTGATGCAAGTGTCAAGGGAAATAAAGCACAGCAAACCACCTAAATATAAGGAAGCTCATTATCATTTTAACTCCTGAAAAAAAAAACTAGAGCAATTCGTGCTGGCTGATAAATCTAGTGTAATTTTTCTGAACAAGCAAATTTGAGATGAGAAAAGCAAAAGCTATTGCAGACCTCCAACTATTTTTTATGCTGAAGGAAGACTTGGTAAACTAAATATCTTAAGCATTAATACAACATGAATGTGCTAAACTCTGAATTTCATAATCAGTTATTGTACAGGAAAGCCATTTGAAGGAAACAGTTTGTATTCGTATTTTTTTAAAGACTAAACAGAGAAGTTCTTTGACATATAAAATTATTCTAATAATAAAAGTACTTTCACTTTCTTCTTCAAAGGTAAAGATATGAGTAGTTTTTATATTATAAAAAATTCTGTTCTTTACATAAATTTCTTGTGTTGCCAAGGACTTACTGAAACAAAAATAGACTGTGAAGACATGTAAAGGAAAAGCTTAGAACTTGCTTAGGAAAGGAAGTAATTAAACCCTTTTTAGGATCAATTAGAAGTAAAACCACTGAAATCTGTTTGGATTTAAAGGCTTAGCTCTTTTGATTTCTGTGTGTTCTCTTAAAATGTCTAGCTCTCTAGACACTGGATTGATTTTTTCATGTGTTCACTTATTTCAGTAGGCATGACACCTTTGCTGTGAAATGAAAACAAAGCATTCATTCAGCTGCTACATTTTCACACAATTATTCTGCCTTTGTACACCACCGTAAATAAAAGGATAGAGATAAATATGCCACTTTGCAAATAGAAATAAAAGGCAGTTGTAGATTGTAGGAGTTTGACACAGATAATACAAAGCACTGGAAAGCAGCTTAGATGTGGGAGGGTGTGGAAAAACTAGTAGTGAGAAGAACAAAAGGAGGAAGTATATTGTAAGAGGTGGGCTTTGAGATAATGTTATATTAATAATGGATACTTTCATGTATATCCCTCCTAAGTTTTTAGCTTTCTAGAAGTCATTTACTAATAAATTTCCAACCCCCTCTACAGACAAGGTAAGAATGCAGTAGCACTGCCTTTATTTTATACTTGGCAAATGCAGAGTTGCACCTTTGGGATTACAGCAAAGAGCACAGACTGCAAGTCAGCACCACAGGCATAGGCTTATAGCCTGGTCAGTCCAGCAGTAACACAGCTCTTCTCTTATTTAAGTAAGAATTTGGGAAATAATTGGTAAATACTATCAAAAGAAGTGGAACACATTAAGGGAACCACAGTGGCAAGGATAAACATATGGGAAGCATTGCTGAGAGAATTAAGAGAAATATGTAGAACATGGACAAGAGGGGTAAAATTATAAGAAAAATGGAAGACAGGGACATTGAAAAAGATAACAGAAGCTATAGCAGACTGTTTAGGCAACCAAGTAAGTTTAAAGTGGATTAGTTACATCTTCACTAATCCTGTTTGTAAATTCCTTAATAATTAAACCTTCATTCAATTTAGGTTTATTTTCCTCTGAAGGAACTTAAGTTAATCAACTGCACAGTTTATTTAGAATGGATTTCCCTGTGTATGGTCAAATGGAAGGGCATTATGGATCCCAGTAGGAAGATGTCTTTTCCTCTAGAATTTTACTGGAGCATGGGGAGAACAGTGGTCCAGCATCAGTATTATTCTAATTTAATTACAGCAAAACCAAGAAAGATTGTTGCTGTTGCAGTTCTGGTGGATGGACAGAATAATGTAATTGCCTTTTTACTTTGGAGGGCATTTTTAAGTCAGGTTTCACTTTGAAATGAGGAATTTTTTTTTCAGTAGTAGGATATCCAAGGGGAGACAGATGAATAGAAACATAAAACTAAATAAAAGTCTTGGCATCAATGTTTTGATGGCTCAAAATGAGAATGTAAAATGTAGAGCAGACTATTGAGAATGTTAGTACAGATGAAAAAGGTGAGTGATGAATTGGGGTTAATTGGGCTTTTAAAGTGTGTCAGCAAGGCATTCAGCATTTCAGGAGAAGAGCTGTTTGTCTCAGTAGCCTGTGGGATGAAGAATAAATCCATTAATGACAGCACACACATTGGTGGGAGTAAAATACTACAACTTTAACTGATGGGAAGTGACTCCTAAAACCATCTTTTCATTGTATTAGAAGCAGCAGAACAAAGGGAGGACCAAGAGGGAATCAGAGGAGAAGCTGAGAGAGGGGTTTGATATTAAGATCGTTAAGAGGAAAACACTGAAGAGCAGCTGTCTGAAAGAAACCTCCCCTCAATTCTGTCCAAGGGGGAGGACCTTTCCAGGATCACTGATTTCCCACATCTTAAAATACCTGTAATAGGATCTTTTCCATAATAAGTCCACTAACTCTTTTTGTGACTGAAAGCAATTACTTGTGAGTGAGAAATTACCACTTTCTATCAGAACGCCATTTGAACTCCTTATGTACATCTGAATTTTCCCAGTTAATATCTCTGCTTTGGCAAGTGTTTATGAGTTTCCTGTTGCTCATTTGTGTTCTTTTTCATTTGTATTCATTTTTGGTTTTTTCATTTTTCCTCTCACAGTGAAAAAACGCCACCACACCTTTCATTTCTTCAAAAGACTTTCAGTGTCATGAATGCACCATTGGTGATGATTTCAAAGTAGTAACTGGACACTGCTTCTATCCATTCAGATTTCTGAAACTGATACAGCTAAGCTAAAATTTTCTTAAGTTTAAGTATGTTACAAAAAGTGTCTGAATTTGTTTTGGTGATCAATGTATATAACAGAAGGTAGATATCTTTTAATTACAACTTTTAAAAGTATTTTAAATTTTATTCACACTTTAAATTTTAAAAAAATTACCCTAATCTGTTGATTTAAAAAATATATAAATGTAAGAGAGTCACTAAACTAGAAAGTTTAAAAATCTTTTTTTACTTTCAGCTTAGTCATAGTCCTGTCAAAGAGCCAGGTACCAGCTCAGCCTCTTGCACCCCCACCTTCAGGAAGACCCTGTCAGTATTTTTGATCTATTATTGAATTCTCAGCCCCAAAATTCGTTCAAATTAAGTTGTGCAAGAGGAACTCTATCACTGTTTGATATTTTTATCATAATAAAAGATTTCAGAGAAAAAGCAGCATCCAGTTCCAGTTTGCACAAATTATTTCACAATTCTTCGTGTCACTTCTGTTTCTTTGCTGAGAACACACTTGATTCTTCAAGCACCTAAAAATATCTCAAGTTGTTGGCAAATAGAATAAATACTATTTTTTGGTAGTTATTTGTAGAGTATGTGCTAGTGGAAAGGATGCAGTTTGGAAGGTGTTTGAGAGTTTGCTTTTAGGAAGGGATTTGATGACAGAGAAATGTCAAACCAAGTCAAGGAGAAACTCGATCAGAGTTCTGTGCCTGTCAGGGAGATGAAAGTCAGACAAGAAGAAGTAGCTACTAAGTGATGATCAGTACAAGTTCTTCTCCCTTCACTTTTGTTTTTGTTGTCTATTGCAGGCCTGTTTCCTGATGTAGGTGGAGGGTATTTCTTGCCAAGGCTCTCAGGAAGGGTTGGCTATTACCTCGGACTAACAGGATACAGGCTGAAAGGAAGAGATGTACTCAAAGCTGGCATCGCTACACATTTTGTGGAATCCGAAAAGGTAACATGCTAACAGTGCTGGCAGGGGCACAGCCTACAACCACCATGACAGGTTTGAGGGTTTAGCACCTCAGTATACTTTTTACCAACTTGAGTGTCTGCAGCAGCACAGTTATATTAGCTGGCCATGCCCTGTGAACAGGGACGGTAAAATACTCTCAAGCTGTCATTCTAACACTTGCCAGATAACGACAGCTTTGCTTGGAGGAAGGAGCAAATGTTGTTGTCTTCACAATTCTGCTCTTGGAAGGGCATGATCTACTCAGCATAATGGAAGTTGCTTACAAAATTTCACAGTTCAAGACAATTGTGTATGAAACTAGAGATTTATACAATTGCTGAGTTTTCAATCGAGGTAAAACCCCATTAAATTAATGTGGTTTTTATCAGTCTGCTTAACAGGTATTTGTTTCTTACAGTGCCTGTAAGGAAGTGTAAAAATTAGAGTGTTTCATAAAGTCAGAGTAACTGGAGTGGACTTAAATGAAGGAGAAACAATGATCCTTCTCTGCATGAAGACTCCTGACTGTCACTGTGGAGCTGGCAAAATACTGCTTTGAGGATAGCATTGTTGCCAGACTCCTGCTCTTTCCTCTGAGACTGGTGTAGCCTTGCTTTACCTGCTGCATCTGTAGCACTGCATTGGGGGTCTGCTTGGGAAGAAGAGTTCTTTGCTGATCACTGCAGACATAATTAAATCCAGATGGTTCAACACTGAAAAAATGAACTCTGGCTCCTTGTACTGTTTGCTTAGTACCTCCTTTCGATCAGAAAGTTGGGGAGGGTGAGGGGGGTGTTTTTATACATGCATACTACTATTACCAGTAGTATAGCACCAGCAGAAATAATTCAAGTAGATTTTGTTTTACTTAATTCTAATTAAATCTTATTTTTAATAGCTACCTGCCTTAGAGAAAGACCTGATAGCACTGAAATCGCCTTCAAAAGAAAATATAGCAGACTTACTGAACTCTTACCACAAGAAGGTAATCTGATCAGTTATTGAAATCAAGCAAAATTGTTATATATATATATATATAAAGACATTCTCTTTTTTTATCCGTGCTACTGATAATTTTTTTTTTACAGTTGAAAATAATGGATTCCCAAACTCTTTGCCCTTTATAAAATACTAATTTGTAGCACTAATGCCTACAGTGGTCAAAATCAGAATTGAAAAGTCCTTTTTCACCTTTTGTTCATTTTGGATACCCCAAAAATTCCTACTGTGATCAGCTCAATCTCTGTGTGTGTACTTCAGTTTCCAGCCAGTAGCATGACAAGGCAGAAAATACATTGCTGCTTAATTTTCCCCCTGTTATTCTTGGATTTCTAGCACACTTGGCAGAAGGCAAAATAGATAGCCACGAGCAGACTGGAGGTTGTACATGATGACAAATGTGATCTGGGGAGTTACCCTGAAATTCAGGGATTCTGACAAATAGAAATGACAAGGGTGGAACTACTGGCCTAATCCAGAGGCTGCAGAAGTTATTCAGCCCATTAAATGCTGCACTGTTCACTTGGAAATGGATGCTGTATTTCCATCCCAGAAAATTTCTCTATATCAACCTGAAAAATGTCTTGCTAGCTCGATGCATGTGACATAAATTTTAGCATTATTTTGATGCAGACCATCTGCAGTCCAGATTTGAAGCCTGAATTTAAAGGCTTAAGTTGTTCCTTTGACTTCTCAAGTATTTTATATGTTTGTAACCTTGAGGCAACTGAAAGACTGAATAAGCACAGCAGTTATCAATAGGATCAGTATTGGCAGGTAACTGTAGGAAAAGCACCTGAAAGCAGTATTTTCAGGGGGAGAAAGATGCTGTTTTCCCAGTGGACTAACCCATGCATGGTGCTCTGTTGTGATTTTGGAGGTGAATATAACTGTATTAATACATAATTAATATTTGTGTTGGGCCTGTGTAACAATGAGCAGAAAAAATAAAAGGTTTTGGCTTTACAATCAGAGGCTATTTTAACTGCTTTGATGTGCATTGTAATTTTATTTCAATAGAAAGAAAACTTGGAGAGTTAAACTAGTTTGTTCAATTCTAGTGTGTTTTAACTAGTTTTTAACTAATTTGTTTGGCTTTAAAAGGAGCAGTGTCTACTCCTGTTATTTCTATTTTGGAATTACTGAGTTAATATATTAAGGTTAATTAGAAAAATAAATGGGATAAGCTAATTAACCTAGCACTACTGGTTATTCTCACAAAATAGAAAGCTGTGAAATAGGAGTGATTATATGTTGCAGTATACAGAAAAGGAGGCTGTGTATTTTTAGTTATCAGAGCTGAAATGACAGGGAACCTTTCTCAGCTTCAGCTGCTGGTCCTGAAACATCTGCTTATGTCCTAAACCCCTTAATGTGAAGATGTGAGACATTTGACAGCCTTTCCACATAAGGCCAATGGGTCTTTCACACACTTCAGCTGTCTAAATAAAATTTTGCAAAATGACATAGAAAAGATAAGGAAGAGAAATGCCTTTTTTTTTTTTTGTCATTAAAAAAGCCTAAATATACGCCTGAATATTTTTAAAGAAAATGAAGCTGTTTTTTTAAACAATCTCGGGTTTTTGGGTAGATTTATCTATACTTACTTCCTTAGTGTATTTTATAGAAATGTTTTGATAGAATAATCAGAATTACTTGTGTAGAAGATAACCACCCAGTCGAATATGCATACATAGTAGCTCAGAGCAAGCACTGCATTATGAGGCAACACCTTTAACATTCACAGGATAAAGTGACAATTTCATTTATACACACTGCAAAACTGTAATTCATTAAAAATGTCACTGTCTTATGAATATTAACTGTTCATTTTTGATATTTCTGTAACACAAGGCATTCAAATTTTTCAGTACTGCTAACATTTTCAGTCTGAAATAACCAAGTAAAACAGGTATTTGCTTTTTAAATAGTGCACAGTTGATCAAGAAAAGAAGTTTGTACTTGATGAGCACATGGAGAAGATTAACAGGTATTTAGCAATCTTTTTTCATTTTTTATTATTGTGGATAGAGAATGTGAAGTTAAATCAAGTAACAGTATTCTGCAGATAAGGTGAGAGAAATGACATCCAAGTTTAAATAACTGATTTGTCTTTAGAGAGCTTTATCTGAAGCTCATTAAATGTTTCACTTATCAGTATATTAAGTACTTGAGCACATTTGCCTGAGTCATGCACCCTTGTATTAAGCAACTACCATATGGCACATTAGAATGAACATTTTCTATAGAAATTGGATGGGGATTTGTGAGAGAAATTGTCAAGTTGAATAGGCAATGTTACGTAGCACATTTATACTCATTGATTTAAGGCCATTTGTATGACTGCTTGGAACTTCTGTGTATCAGAGAAGGAAGGAGAAATAAGTGAGAGTGAAAAGAAACAGCTAAAATTCTTGAAGAAGGATGGCAGTAACTAGGTTTAGAGACAAAAGAATTTGACACCAAACCAGTAGAACAGAGCTAATAGCTAAGGGCTTGATGTGCTATAAAAATACAGATAAGACTGATGGGAGTAATGGAAGTTTATAGATAAATAACAGAGTTTGTGAGTGAGGTTTATTGAAACACTAGAGAATTGTAAAGGGAGAGGAGATGCCTGACAACCAAGTTACTTGAAAGGGAACAACATGGAACACATTGCTAAGAAAAGCCAAATCAACTGGTTACACTGTTTCTAATGCTACTCACCCTTCATAGGTAAGTGGAAGGCTGAAGCAGTTCATGGACTAATTTATTTTAATTTTAGTCTTTTTTCAGCAAATAGTATGGAAGAAATTGTCAAAAAATTAAAGCAAGATGGTTCTCCTTTTGCCATTAAGCAGCTGGAGGTAATGTCTTCTATGTTATTTTTGTTAAAAATTTTAAGTTTGGGTGTGTATTTTCTTATCATAGGGTAGACTTTATTCACCCTATTAACATAACTAATACTGCATAACACTGATAGGACACTGGACTGAGACCCTCAGGTTCTCCCATATTGTCCTGAGGGATTCTCAGTAGTGCTGTTCAGACAAGAGTAAAACTCTGTAAAACTACACAATGTGAGTATTGTCATGTGGTGCATAAAATTGTAATTAGTAAAAACCCAAAATGCCCTTCCCTTTTCCCCTCAAGGGATTGTTGGGGACAAACATTCCCTTTTATAGCTTCTCATTTTATTGCCAAGGGTTGGAATAAACCAGAGCCAGAACAGTGTTGTTCTTCTTCTTCCATTCCAGATACCTCATTTGGGTAAACAGCAAAAAAATTTATCATCACAAAGTATTTTTGATCTTTTTAATGCATTCCTGAGTGTTGGACGTATCACAGAATCACAGAATCTGCTGAGCTAGAAGGGACCCACAAGGATCATTGAGTCCAACCCTTAGCCCTGCACAGGACAACCCCAAGAGCAAGAGTCACACCATGTGCCTGAGAGCATCATCCAAACACTCCTTGAGCTCTGTCAGCCTTGGGGCTGTGACCACTGCTCTGGGGAGCCTGTTCAGTGCCCAACCACCCTCTGGGGGAAGAACCTTTTTCTAATATCCAACCTAAACCTCCCCTGACACAACTTGAGACCATTCCCTCAGGTCCTGTCACTGCTCACAGAATCACATAGTCACTACTCAAAAAATGTACAGCAATACTACACAGAATTCATACTTCAGCCTCAAAAGCAAGAAGCAACTTATATTCATTTATAAATAATGTGTGTATTTTCTGTTTTTCCTTTGAAGTATCTGTATTCAGGTGCCTTGTAAAAGTTTGGTTTCAAGCTAGTGAAATATTAGTTACAATTGGATAGAACTCTAGCATTTCTTCAACAAAACTGTCATTAAGAAATCTTGCTTTTTTAATAAAATAAAACATCCATCATCTTCTGACCTTCATTTGAGCAGAAGGAATTTTAGAAGGTAGTATCATTAACATTAGACATCCTGTCATAGATATACTTTACTTTTTAGTTTTTAATTAAAGATACAACACTTGGTCACTGGAACTGTCAAACGGTTTTTGAGAAAGGAAGTTCTAGCATTATCTTTGTGCCAACCATTATGCCTAGTACATTGCAAGAAGTTCAGCACATGTATTATAAAAAGCAAAACTGAATAAAAGGGAAAGCTCATTTTTTCCCCTTGTATTCAGGTTTCATTGGATAAAGCAGTAAAATGAGCTGGTGCCAAAATAAAAATTTTACGTGTTTATAAATCTGAATTGTACCATTTTCCTTCAACCCATATAGACTCTGTGATTCAGTTCTTCACTTTTCCCCCTCTGTTATAGATGGCAGGGAAAGTAACTACATTAAGGTTGGTTGAGACAGTTTGATAGCATGTTAATAGTAGTCACTTCTGGTGGCTCTTATTCTTTATAGTATTGAGTTAAAAGACAGTATTTTATTTGTAGATTTTATAACGTTTGATATAATTCTGCAGGAGTATTATATTGATCAGGTTCAGTGGAGGTTGAAAACCGTCAAGAATTATTTGCATGTAGCTTTTCCTAAGTTAATTTCATACCATTTTATGTCACTTTAAAAACATAATCAGACCTAGTGGAATTTATTTTAAAATAGGCCATAGCCCTTACTGGGTGTTTTGTTCAAAATACAGTTTCTACTACAAAAGATACAAGGTGTCTGGAAACACTTTGTTATTGAAATATGTTAACTAGATGGTTTGCTCTGCCAGGTTTGCTGTAGTTACCCAAACCTGCTCAACTTTGTTCCTTCATTTGCAGCCTCATCACTCAGATCTGCCTTATTATACATATAGAAAAACAACCCCCCCTCCAAAAAAAAAAAACCAAACCAAAACCACACAACCCTGTTCCTTTTCCTTGTTTAGTGGGGTACATTTGTTTAATAGTTTTAGTTGTAGTTTAAATAAATAGTTTAAAACTGCATCATCTACTTCAAAGTTACAGTTTTGTGTAACTGATTTTTTTTCTTCCTGAACAAAAACATGGCTGTTTTGTTGCTTCTTCAGTTTTCTTATTTCATGTTTTTAATAGGACTTTATAGCAGCTTTTTTTTCTTTCATGTGATTCATAAATGAATGTCCTTGGAGTTGACCAAAGTTTCTGAACAATTGTCTGTTGTGTTCAAGAGATAAGACTATGTCAGTATGAGTTGCTTCAGTCCATACAGAAGTTCATGGGAAAAACCCCCACAAAACAAATCCCACATTTTCTCCAGATCCAAGACTTATTAGTGTCAACAAATACATGTTACAGACAAGTTTCTAACAGTACACATTCTGTGCTAAACAGTAGGATTAAGTGAGATTGTAGGATCAGATACTTAATTTCTTCTGTGAAAGATTCATAAACCCAAAAACTGAAATAAGAGATGGGTATCTTCATCTATTGCAAGGGAAGTGAAGTATTGGGCCTCTGGGAGGTTTTTGTTTGTTTAAGTGAAAGAAAGTCACTGTGCCTGCTGTTAATCTTGTAAGGGACTCCACTGAGCCAGTGCCTCTTAATTCAGTCACCTTCTGATAGTAACTTACTGGCATTCAGGTCTACTGTAAATTCAGCTTGTAGCTTTTGGGATCATTATGACAAAACCAAGATGGTCTGAAAGATACTGAATCAGATGTCAAATACTTCTGTGAAAACTTCTTTGCATTTTAGTACTCCCCACTTCAGCCTATCCTCTCTCTTTTTCAGGCTTGTTCCCTAGCACCAATCCCCTCCTTTTTGTACAGAGAATTTATTTATAGATACACTGGTGACTCATTTTTCTGCAATTACACCTACCCATTTTCTTGCCTTGTTCCTCTTCCTTCAGCTTGATTTATACCAGCACCTCCTCCACCTTCAACCTCACTGATACACCAAGATAACTAGTCTAGTGCATCCAGCAGCTGCCTTAAGTGCTGTTTTCAGATCTTCCCCATCCCAGTGCTTTCTTTGACCAGAAAGAACTTGCCATTGCCGTTTCACCCATCGAACCATCTGGCTGTGCTGTGCACACCATTTAGCCTGGTCTAATCTCAATGACAGAATGTGAAACTCAAAGGTAGAAAGGTCCAGCTGAAAGGTAAAGCCAGCAAGAGCATATTACAGGAAATAAGGTGACCAGTGAAGAGCTGCCACCCATCTGAGAACTACAGAATGATGTAATGAGAAGTGTAGCAGATTTCTTTATCTGCTGAAAGGCAGCTTATTGTTAGAGTGCTTGACCAGGACTCAGGAACAGCTGGCACTGGGAGCCAACATTGGCTCTTTCTTGGCCAGCTTTTCTCCCAAACACAGTGGTCAACATGCAAGCAACAGAACGACAGAACCAGTGCTTTTAAGGCACAATTGCACAGCCTCCTGCTTGTATAGCAATTGCATATTTTCCAGCTTAACTAGGCAAAATGGGTCACTGCTGTATCAGCTGGTGTCTGGAGAGGGATGAAGGGTAATTGGAAGCTAGCAAAAACGTTACTGCTGATGACTGGAAACCTGCCATTTCAGTCTGTGGTAAGGAGCCTAATGTCTGCAATGAAAATAATGTAAAGAGGCAAATCTTACCATCTGCTGCTTTTCAGTAGTGGGAAAAATGTCCTAATTATGAGGAAATGTCTATTGTACTGTGAATGATAAAGAGCTATTAGTTGGATTTACAGGGAAGAAGAGTCTTGTTTAAGAAAAAAAGATGAGCAACGATAAGAACTAGTTCCTTTTCCCCACAACCCATAAAGCTTTAAAGCTCAGTTCTTTTTTCTTAACTAGGTTTCTGTCTTTCTCCCCACTTCCCCCTACTGTTGACTGGCATGCTCTTAATCGAAGGATACTCATGAGAGCCAGATTTACAGCATTTGTTTGTGTGCCTTAAACAGATCCTGTGTGTTGGGTGATATTTATAGCCTGCAGTTCTGTCAAAAGAAGGGAGGCCAGACCTCCAGGCTTCCTATCAACAAAGCAATGTAGTGCTAAATTACTGCAGTATCTGTTGATGCCAGATAAGCAGCTTGGATAAATATGCATTTATGTTTGATTTATTTTAATATTTTTTTCTTCCAGAATTTTCTTCTTTGCATATTGTGTAGTCTTTTTAAAGGTTCACAAAGCAACTAGTTAAAGTCTGTTGCCAATCTCACTACTATTACCTTACTATGCTATTGCACCTAATAAAACTGAAGTGCTGTGCAATACTAATATCAGTAACATCTAAGAGCAATTTAGACTACAAATATGATATTCAAAAGTGAAGTATAATTGCTTACAGCGCTCACGTTCACTTAACCAAAAGATGGTTTGGAAGTGGCTTTCAAACTGCATTAGATTCTCTGGTTAGTAGTAATAGTTAGATAGAAAAAATTAGGCGATCTCAGGAGTTCTTTCCACGAGTGATGCTGCACATCCTAGAGTTCTTGCTGATAAAAGTTTATGGAAGGAAGTTCATTTAGTGTAACAGCATGGTGGGAGGGAGCAGGAGAAATAGGTGTGACAAAAGTGAGCTCAGGGAAAAGAGTGCCATCATTTACTTTACAAAGTTTAAAATGTGGCAGACTTTAAAGTGTGTCTAAATTGAACAGAATAAAAATACTGTTAATGTCTTCCCCAGACTATTAATAAGATGTCACCTACATCCTTGAAGTTGACTCTCAGACAGCTCAGAGAAGGAGCTTCAATGAGCTTGCAAGAGGTACTCAGGATGGAATACAGACTAAGCCAAGCATGCATGGTAAGCAAGTAGCTGTGCCCTTTGTCCCTTGCCAGCCACAGGGGAGGAGCAGTTTATCAGAGACTGGGTTTTATGTAGATTACATCAAGGGATGTAATAGTTTATAGGTTTTAATTTTCAGTATCATCTTTGTGTGCTTTATATGCAACTTGAAGGAGACTACATTAATGATGGTCAGGTGGGAGTGGTAGAGGGCTTCTGTTAAAAAACTATGAGAATATTAATATATGGATAGTTTTGTATTTGGACCATAATTTGAAAACTGGTGTTCTTGAACAGATTTTCTGTTTAAATTACTTAGTCCTCAGTGCCTCAATTCCCAGCAGAAGGATGGGAGTAGTTGTTTATCACTGCCTTTCAGGAATGCTGTGATAAATTTTTTATAGACAACAATAGATTTTAGTAGTATTTGCACTAAGGACTGAGTACTTGGATAACACACAAGAAAGTGATCCTTTCAGTAGAACAGAGCTGCTAACTGAATTACCTGAACAAATACCTTATAAAGCTTCCCCATGGCAACCCTATTGTTAGTCTTGTCACATTTTAAAATATATATTATATATCCAGTTAAGTGACTTGTGATGATTAAAGTAAATGCTTAGAAGTAAAAATCTATCTAATTCTGATATGTTGTAATGCCTGACAGTATCCTTGCCATAGCTTTCCTGGAACTAGTATTGTTGCTCCACTGCTAGGGATTAAGTCTTATATTTACCTTTATCAAAAAATAACTGCATGTTTACAGGATACCATTTAACTGCAAAGTGTTCCAAGTATGCAGAATACATCACAGTTCCTGAAGAGTGGCTTTTCTCAGAGGAATTTCTGATCTGACACACCTTAGCCCCCATCATGCAAAGCTCTTTAGAAAAAGAGATGCAGCACAGAGAGAGGACTTGCACTGTGGGAACACTGGTTGATCAGCTACAGCTCAACAGACTGATTTTAAGAGATGTGGCTGCATTTAAGCAAGAAGATGTAGAGCTCTTTAATAAGTAAAGAGAAGGCCTAGAAAAGAAGAGAACAGGCAGGATTTAACTGAATTTTGAGAACTTGCATTTCAAGCAGAAGCGGGGTAGGGGGAGATGGGATAAATTGAATCTGTCATGTTACAAGTGTTTTGGTTTTTTTTAATAATCTTTCAGAAAGGCCAGGACTTCTACGAAGGGGTTCGAGCAGGTAAGAATGCACACCAGAAACATTTCTCAAACTTAATAACATGCAAATCCACTATTGTGGTGCTTCTTTGGAGATTATTAGTTTAGTAGTAATCTCTAAACTAGATTTAAGTGCATGCAGCAACACCCCAGAGAACGCTTCCCAGCTTTCCACAGTGTTTGCTTATTGGACTCCTGTATGGCCAAAATTTATTATTTGTTCCAAAGCACAAGAGCTGCGTTGTTTCCTTTGTGTAATCTCAGTTTCCTAACATTATTTCCCCACCTGGTTTCACCACTTCATTGTGAAAGCTCAAAATATATATAACACTGACAGTAGTGAGTAGCTATGTGTATCATCGGTGCCCACAATAACATTGCCACATTGCTGGTTCAGCCAGCTATAAGATGGTTTAAGACTCAAAGTCAAGAACAACTCTTTACCTAGAAAACAATTAGAACAGAGACTTGCTTTCCTCCCCATGTACCAAAATATCTCAATATAGAGGTGTCTTACTATTTAAAAAGTGTATCTGCAAACTTAATGCTAAATAATTCAGCATTTTAAGGCATTGGTCAAGGTAGGTAGTGGTAAAAGTAGAGCAGTGGCTCAGCAAGTTCATCTGGGGGACAGACTCCGATTCCGTCCTTGATCCTACTGCTGATTCACTGTGCAGTTTGTCACACCCAAAGTCACATCTGTTAGGAACTGTAGCAATTATTTATGTACTATTCAGTACAAGATGAAATAGAGCACAGGCATTTCATTTTCCAAGGAGCTTACGGTACAAGGCATTTGGATGGATCACTTTTGGGTTGGACTTCTAATTCACAGAGATATATACTCAAGTATGTGTTATCACCTCCTCCTCATTTTTTATATCTATCTTTATAAAGTAGTTTAAAATCCACTTGAGAAATGGATATTAGTGTTTGAGTGTTTGCTATTAGTTACACTGTATTAAAGATAGCTTGGGGTGAGAGACACAAAGCTGGTTTGTATAGCATGGAAAAAGTTTCTGATTTTAATTAATTAGTCTTTAGCACTTACTAGCAGAGACTCCTTTGAAGAATTTACCACACACATTGAGAAGTACGTGGTGTTCATAGTGTTGGTAATGGCGACAAGGAGATCTTAAAAAGACTGTTCCTAGGATATTTTCTAAATTGGCATATAAGCTGCTGCAATGTAGTTATTCAGGAAGTGACAAACTCAAGTCTTGAGAGTCAGAGGAACACCAAACTGAATTCCTCCTTGTAAGGCACAAGGTCATGAAACCATCCGGGACTGCAGCACAGTACAAAGCGAATCCCTTTCAGTATGGCCAGCAGATACACAAACTGCTTGTACAGAAAGAGGCTGCAAGAACAGCAGTTGGGAAACTTTTCTTTTGCACAGGATGATGTAGCAAAAGCTTAGGTGTATCAGGGGAAGGAAAAAACCAAAACCACCCACCAGAGCTCCAGCTGCACTGAGGGGAATACTGCTACTACTGCTAATTCATTCTTGAAGCACTTTTGTTCTCTGCTTACTGCATATATTGTTCTCGGGTTTTCTGCCTTAGAATTGTTTCTCTTGTTTAAGAGAAGATCTTGAGAATCTGACTCAAGATAATTTTTGTAGTTGGGTCTAATTTCATAAAAATCATTATCCAACAATGAGCTGAGCGTTCTTTTTAATAGGAAGTGAGATTATTAAATACTTCACAGGATCAACCATAGTGAACAACAATGATAAAGTGTTATGTATTGGCTTTTTCTTTATTAAAGCATTATCTTTCAAGCATTTAAGAGCCAGCTGTTGACCCTGTCTACCACAAAAGGATCTACCACGAAATAATGTTGAATTAAAACAACCAAATTTTAGTTTAAGATTGTTTTTCAGCAGCAATGGCCAAAGGTCAGGCTTTAATAATAGCTTTTATCTGCTTCAAACCATCATTTTAATAGGCATGCTAGGAAAGTAGTTTAAAAGCTTTTTAAACCTGCTTTGACCTGAGGTCAGAATTTCATTTTTCTTTCAGCCAGTTTTTTCAACCTTAAAATCTGCTGTGGCAAACAGTCCTTCCCTTTATGATTCTTGTGATTGGAGCTATTAAAGAAAAGCTAAAGCCTTAAAGCATAAACCACATAAATCATATTTCATCAACATTTTCCCACATTATGGTAGATGTGGACTTTGAACATTATAGGTATCAGTTTTTCACCTTGATTTGTAAAACAAGAGGTAAACTAAGAAATGCATAGGTCTGTTTTTTAATTCTTACTGCCTAAGAAAAAGCCATTTTTGGAGTCTGTGCTCAAACACATCCAGGGAAGAGTACAAGCTCATCAGCAAATCTCAGGGACAAAAAATCTGTTCAATTCCCCTCCTAACTGTGCAGGAACGTGCACTTGAAATGGAACTGTAAAGGTCTTCCACATATTGCTGATGCTGCAGAGACGTTATTTCTGTACAGCTTCTGCCTCGTCTCCTGCAGAGCTGGCAGATGTGAGCCTTACCCTGGGCACCCCAGGGCCCTGCAGCAGGCAGGGAGAACTTCAGGTGCCTAGAAATATCAGTGTTTTGACTGTGCTGAAGGGAGCTAAGCAACACCAACACCAACTGAAGCCTGGTAAAGTCATGGCTACTGAACAGAGGGGCTTGGGATTTTTACCAAGAAAGGTAAAACGCAACAATAAACACTTAACACAATGCCTATGCTCAGTTACTTTTATATTAATGAACTTAGCCTACCTCAGAAGTCTTCAGAATTTTTATTCCATTCCTGTGGTGATCCATCTCAAGCTGGAGAAATACAGAACCTACAGAAGTTAAAGCAGAAAGGGAATATTTTCATGATGGTACTAGAAAACAAATATTTTAACTTCTAAGACTAAAGACTTAATTGGAGAGACCATTATGAGCATTCAGTTTATCCACCAGAGTAAAACTGGCCACAAATCCAAACAAAGATGAACTTGGTGAGACAGCAGTTCCCTGGAGTGGAGAACTAGCAGCAGTTACTACAGTGTGGCAGAGGTGAAGCTGTAGTAACATACACATGGACTTTTTTCCTCTTAAGTGTTGGCTTTTGTGGATAACAGTTTATTTTGGCCAGATTGTGAACTTCAACTAAAATTGAAGGAAATCAGTAGATAAGTCCTACACCAGTGGGACAGTTATGTCTTTTGATCCAAACCAATCAATGGTTTCACATCACCACGTTTAGAATTAACTTGGAGGATCATAGTTTTTTAAGTTACTCAGTTAAATAACATAGTAAAATCACTCTTCTACAGGACATTTCTTTTAAGTATTTGCCCACATGGGTTCTGTTCTCTGTGGAACTGCAGCTTCTATCTATATAATGGGTTACTTCTTAAAATTAGTGTTTATTGTTGCTAGGGAGTCCTTAATCCTCTGTTTGTAAGTAAACAGGTATAGGGCTCTGATTTGCCTTTCTCTTTGAAAATGTAAGCTAAAGAGTTATGATGCCTGTATGTCTTCAGCTACAAAAATATTAATCAGTGCAGTTGTCATCTGAATGGTATTTATTATCTAGGTACTCTCAAGTGTTGGTTAAAGTGGAAAAGTTAAAGAGAAGTTTTTCAAGTCACATTTTTTACTAAAAACTGGTAAACAGGCCATGTGTTTTGATAAGGCACAGTCTTTAGGTAGGCATTCATTTCACTGAACTTAAAATCCCACCCCCTTACACATTTCTCATCATGGGTATTTCTAGTTTACTCAGTAAGAACAAAGTTTGTTTAGAAAGACATGACAACTTACCAAAAAAACCAGCTGTTATTCTTCAAACTTTGGGGTCTCTATGTCTTCTGTTTACATGCCTTTAGAACCATCCTACTTCAAACTCTTTCTCAGAAAACAAACAAAGTCTGTTCTCAACAGAAGAACTTGGGAGGTGCTTCCTCTTCCTGCCCATCCTCTCTTAAGTGCTGTGGGCTGTGTTGGTCAGGAGGTCTCCCAGGACACAGGTGCATCTCCAAATCAGTTCATGGTATCACTCACCTGAAGGGAATTTGTGTTGTGAGGGGTGTTGGGCAGTTAGTGCATCCTAGAGAGCCACAGTTCCTATAGCTGTTCTTTTTTAAATTATAAAAATTTCACATTCTGAATAGCGTCTTTATGGGTTTCTTAAAGCCCGAAAGGTGATTGGAAGGATGTTCTGGAATTCCATTCATATTGATCATTTTTAGACACAAATGAACTCCCCTTTATTGTTGGCTAGTGCAGCTGTTCTTGCTGGTCTTCAGTTTTCCTCTGATACAAGGAATGTTTTTTGGGAATTGATATTTTCTTGTACTTTTATATCTTATTCATTCACTGATCTATTTCCCAGGATACAGCATGAAGTCTATATAATCAGATTATTCAAATTGTCACAGTTAAATCTACACAGATCTGCAGTATCTGACAGTATTTACAAATAATCATTCTTGGTTTTCCCACAAAGATACTCTGCTTTACTCTTTCATCGTGAATTATTTTATTATTAGTTTACACAATGTGTTTAAATTAGCTTTAGGCATTTAACAGCACTTTGAGGCATCTCCTACACTCTCCAAAGAGTCAGATTTTGCACAGAGGTGTGAAAGGCCTTGTCCAAAAGGAGCATCATAGATACTGTTCCCAGGTTCACATGGAAAAACATGTCAGGGAAGAGTGGCAGGTCTAACAGAAACCACTATTTTCAGGTCTGTTCCTTCAAAGCTTGGACTACTTCTGAAGTGATTCACCGTTCCTTGTATCTTCAGGCAACTCCCAGATATGTTCCTAGACAGGTCACAACTCAAGAGTTTTTATTAGAGTAGAAATATGTATGTTACAAAAACTCTGCCTTCTCCAGAGCACAGTGATTTTTCTCCCCCATGTAACCACTGCAGTGATCTGTCTTGATGCAGTCTTTTTAATTTAATTTAATTTAATTTAATTTAATTTAATTCATTTTAATTAGAGGAAGTTTACAGGTAACTTTGGTGTCTTTCTGTTCCACCTGACAGTGCTGATTGACAAAGACCAATCCCCAAAATGGAAGCCACCTGCTCTAGAAGAAGTCAGTGATGAATTTGTGGACAACTGTTTTAAGCCATTGGGAAACGACGATCTCAAGTTGTAAAGATCAAGCCTATTGACATCTTATATATCTGCTCTAATTCTGTAATATAAAAATTAATAGTAGTGTGATAAATTTTGACAAGACTCTTTCAACTAGCCTGACATTCACAAAGCTAATTTTTTTGCGTTCAGGAATATTCTCTATAATGAGGAAATAATTGTATCTCTGGTTAGTAATGGGAAAAATCACTTCAAGGCAAATTGTTATTTTTACTGTTTTACACAATGATTAACATTTAATTTTTTTGCATCAGCTCTTAGTTTAGGAGGAGCCCTTGGGGAAGAGAGCACAGTTAAGGGGTGACCTAATAAGCAAGAAGTCAGGAGACCTCTTGTGTTCTTGGTTCTGTCACTGATCTGTTAAATTGGAGTTGTGCCTCAGATTCTTCTCCATACAATGAAAATAAAATATACTTAAAGCTTTAAAACAGTCAGAGCTACAAAGGAAAGTGGAAGACAGAATTCATGGTGTTAAATAGCCTTTTAAATTAAAGCTCAGACTGACATACTATTAAGTCTGAGAACAAGAGAATGTTCTATTGATTTAACATCTGGTCATTATTTAGCCTTGCTACGTGCTCTAAACATTGTTCAAATGTCATAATATTGCCAGAGCCTAGAGCACACTTCTGTTTGATTGTATAGCCCATTTTTTAAAAGGCTATTAAGTCTGATTGAACTCCATAATTAGTTTTTTCATGATTGCAAAAATTTGCAAGTTCTTCTTGGTCTTACAGTGCTGAAGAAGCTACTGCCTCAGACCTTTCTGTGAACACCAAGCAGCACATTTGCTGTGCATTAAAGGTTGCTGGGTTCTGATACTAATGCATGAAGTTATATATGACATAACCAGAGCCCCTTGATAAAGTATAATCTTTTTTTGGTGGGGGGATTATTTTTTCTATTGTGTGTGCAACACACAGCTACTAATCTTTCTTCAGCATTACTCCTACATGCTTTTGTAAGGTTTGTCAAATCACATATCAGTATTTCTTCCTACTTGTTTCTACAATTACAGGCAGGTCACAAATAACAGATTTTGGCTTCTCTGATGGTGAACCACCGAGGCTAAAGGAAGAAAACTTCTGTTCAAATAACACAGTCAGTAACCAGCAATGGGGAATCAAAAAGTCAGAGCTACAGCAGAACCATAATGGAGTTTTCAACATTGGGCAGTTTTTATTACTAACAGTTATGGTCTGCAATGGCTTAAGGCTCCTTCCTTTCCAGGAGCTGTTGCCTGGAAACAAAGTCCAGGAAATTCAGGCAGCAAGGTGAACTACCAGAGTGACTTTCAAAAAATCAGAGGTGAGCAACTGGAGAGCAAAATCAAGAAAAATTGGCACCTTGCTTTGTTGCTATAATCTTTCAAGATAAAATTGTTAAATTTCAGCTGCGAGTTAATGTTACCATGGACATATTTGTTATGTCCTTGAGTTTATTTCCAAATGTACTTGAGAGATTTCATTAATACCCTTAGGGTGATTCTGAAAATATGACTTGAATTTCTACCTCAGGCTGGTTCTGTAAGAAGTGTAAGCCTCCCCCCCTTATTTTTAAAAGTTTTTATATGTTTTACATTCTTAAACAATGCCTATTTTTAATTTATTTTTTAAAGATTGGTTAATTTCATTATTTTTGTACAAAAGGAGCAGTCTTCAGTGACCACATTTAATGAAAAACACAACAGTTCCCAGGGAGTAGGGGTCATGCCTTCTCTGACTGTAAAGGACTTACAAGGTTTTAGCAAGAATATACTTCCCAATTCATAAACTTTTGACTTGCATGTTCAGTTGCCTCCAAAATTTATGTGAACAGGAAATATCCCAGGCTCATGGTAACAAGATTCTGTCCAGTCTGTGCATTTTTATCAAATAAAAGGCATACAAGCAGATGGTAAGTTGAATTTTATTTGGTCCACAAGAAAATATTTTCCACAAAAAATATTGTAAAAATATATTGTAGTGTGTTTTATTTGGGAATACTGATGTGTCTTACTCCAGAAATGTCAATTTTACAAAGTTGTGCTGCAGTTAATGTGTTTTGAACCAGTATTAGAATATCAAGTCCATCACATCATATCCACTCAGACTAATCTTAGGTTTCCTGGAGAAAATAGAAAGCAAAAGTATTATTAACTCCTAAACAGAAGTAAACAGTTTTGCAGAGTTTGCCAGTCCCAAACTCAAGTGCCTTTATTTCACACCATCAAGTCAAAAAAATCAATGGCAACTTAGCTGGGAACCCACTGTACGTGGGCTTATAAACTTTATAAAACTGTAGCACAGCTTAGCACAATCTAATGGTTAAGTAAACAGTCCTAGTATTATTTAGGTAAAGAAGTCTTCATTTTTATTATGTATTGGTATTGTGCCTATTGAATGTACAGCAGGGCTCTGGAAAGGGATCTCCTTCGATGTCTCACTGGCCTGTGGTACTGAAGAGGTGTTATTTATTTTTCATTAAGGATAAGTGCATTATTTATAAGGACAGCATCTTGTAAAAGAGATGATTTTCCTGGTGAGAAGCTGCCTCCCTGTTGTTTGCAAGCTTGTTTGCTTTCCATTTGCTGCATGCTTTCCCTGAAGTGCCAGTGTCATGGAAAGCATCATAAACCAGCTGGAATTGCACTTCAGGCCATACTGAAGCTGCTGAAATCTTGAGGCATTAATGAGGGAAGACGAGGTTTGGGGCTGCAGGTAAGTGAGTGACTGGCTGGACCCACCAAGCAGCACAGCCACCATCCCACACAGCAGGTTGTCCAAATGGAAGCAGTCTATGGTGCATGTTTAATTACACTTGGGTAACCTTCTCCTTTGGGGAAATTCTGAGTATTTATCAGAATGGATGCTGTGATGTAACTTCAGGCTGGTTTATCGCTGTGCCTGCTGTTGGACCGTGCAGTGGCAGCCTGCCAAGGAAGGAGCTGCTTTCAGAAGTGCACCTGATATTCCCAAAGAGTGTCAGATGCTAAGGCTACATCCAAAGGAAGGATTTGAGACATGGCAACAGCAAAGCACTGCAACACCCAACTCCCCATGGCAGCCACCAAGGTGTCTGTACCAGGGTCGAGGCAGATACACCGAATTTTACTCTGAAAGGGAGTGCAGTTTTTTATCTGCTGTTCACCTGCCTGGCCAAGAATGGCTGTGGAGCTTGGGATTTATTTTTTTTTAATTACTGTGGCTAGCTGTGTTAACATTCTTGAGTCAAGACTCACGTTTAATAGGAATCTTTAATACTGTGGTTAAACAATGCACAACTGATATGTACTGACCTGGTCAGTGTTTTGGCTTTGCTTTCTAACTCACCCTAATACACAGAGGTTTTTTAGATAGAGCAAACATAGGGTATGATATAATGTTTTCTAGGCTGTAGAATTTCAAGGAACATCACTATTAACAGTAGAGTTTAAGTGAGCCATAATACCTTAGTCCCACTTTGCATATGGCTTTGAAGACAACTATGTTACTTCAAAGAGGACATTACAGCATAAGCCGATTTTGTTCCCTTTTTCAGCAAAAGCTGAGAACAGTCTTTATAGCACGGTCCAGTCTGGTCACTGGGAGTTAGTAGCAGTTTTGTGCTGTGCCACAAGCATTTTTCACTCTTTACTCTTGATAAAACCACTTCCCAATATAGGTGAATTTAAAATAACTAAGTTTGTGTCTCAATGTTTGCAAAACAGCTCAATTCATAGACTGTCTTATGTCTGAGAATAAGCTAAAAATAACAGTTGACATGGTCCTCTCTCTGCTTGCTTCCCATTGCTTGAAAAATCATGCCTTGTATCATTCACTAGAACTACGTGTACCTTTTAAAAATAGTAACAGCTTTTGCCAGTATGGAAAGCATTTCTCTATAAAATGAAAACATAAAATGGGAAGCACTTTGATCTAGGAAAAAGAACTATGTCTTTTAAACTGGCCATCACAGAAAAAAGGAACAAACAGGTGGTAAAACACCAAGCTGTTTACAAGGCCTTCACTTTGCAACAATGTCCCTTTAAGATTAATACAATCCATCCCATTCCTGATCTGTCAAACACTAGTTATGAGCACAGTGGGTCAAGCTGTGAGTCCTGGGGAAGCAGGGAGCAGTGTGTGGATAAAAGCCAGATAAAATGGGTGAAGAATGCAGCCCTTGAACTTTGGGCCTAAGGCTTAGTCACTAACTCAGTGCATTCAGGGCACTGCTCAGGGTCTGGGCTCCTGTGGCTCTTACTGGCACCACTATACACAGATTTTCCAACAGATGAGCAAGAGCCCACAGAAGCTGCAGGAAGGTGTCCTGTCCCACAGGTGCTGCTTTAGAGAGGAATTTTAGTGTAACACAGCCATAGTTCCCATGAAACAAGTTGCCCTAAAACACTGTCACACCTTTGAAGGTTCATTTCACTAGTTAACATCAGTAGTTTTTGCACACCTGTCTGGGTTACAGTGAAACAACAAAACCAAATCCCGCCCAAACCAGCACCCTAACATGAAAATAAACCTAAACAAAACCCCAAACCCCCAAACCAAAAAACCAAACAGCTTTGGTCTGAACACAGTGATCAGATGTCATCAACCTACCTTACTGCAGGATTTGACAGACTAGCTTTCATGCATTTACAGAAGCATCTGTTAATTATAATGCACTGTTTTGTCAATACTGTCCTGTTTCTCACTGGTTCACCTCAGAATGGAAAGTGAATAGTCTTATCATCCATACGGTTCCCTGAATACCACTTGGTTTTATAAAATGCTTCTCATCACCTTCATTATTTTGTGGTATTATAGATTTAGCCAGGTCAAAGAATCAAAGTAAAATTTATGGCAGCAGTTACCTTTGCTACATGCAGACCTTGGTTTCACTTTAGCAAAATGCAGACAAATGTACCAAGCACAGGGAGTTCTTCTCACCTGCTAACAGGCCACTGATCTTTTATGCAGTACCTAGAAATAATCCACACTTTGTCACTCAGTGTTGCTGGGGCCTCTGTGGCACTGCTTGTACAGGTGGAGGGCAGCCACGTTCCTCTCATCTTCTTTTTAACTGTAATTTCTGGTCACATCCAACACATACAAAGACAGAATATACTCAACATACAGCTGATAACAAATGACACTCGATGAACAGATTCTACTGTGATCCAATTAGTTTGTTAGCAGTATAGGTTAAAAGGCAAACCTTTTTCAGCCTCTCCTTGCAAACCCATCCGTACAGTGGCAATATCCTCAAACCACAGCTGACTGGGCTTTATTTGCACCAGTACCACGTACAAACTGCTGCACAGACAGGACAGGCCGCTCCCTGGGGCCGGTCCTGGCCAGGCTCAGGGGCTCAGGGGCTCAGGGCACGTCGCTCTCGATGAAGGGGATGTCGCTGTACTTGCTCTCCGTCACTGCCCACTGCTTCACCGCCTGCTCCAGGATCTCCCGGGACAGGCGCTGCGCGTAGTCCAGCACTATGGTGCTCGAGGGACCCTTCTCATCCACCTTCACTGCTATCAGAGAGGATTTCTCCCCAGTGCATCCTTCGGTGCCTCCCCCGATCTTTTCATCCGGGATAGCCTTCGAACCCTGACAGGCAGCCTTGGATTTGATGCATCCCATGGTACATTGGAAAACGCAGCTGCAAAATTCAGTTCAACAGCATGTTCTGATAACCTGGAAATGCTTTCCTTGTTTGATGCAGTGCTGCTGCTTCTTGCCAGTGGCTCCAGTTATTTTCAAATAACAGAACATCTCCTTTTGTGCTTCTGAAGAAATCTGTCAAAATAGCGTTTCATAGAAAGGCAATAAATAGTTTACCACTGTCAGTGAGCTCCAAGGAAAGCTAAATTCACTACAGATGCCTGTAGAAGCAGCTTAAATAAATCTCTGCACAGTGTGCGTAAAATGTTTTTATCAGCAACATCCATCTACTACAAGCAGGGAAAGTTTGACCTGGATTCAAGCTGCCTTTGAATGCAACTCCCAGTACAGGATGGAAGCCATCTAGGAATGTAAAGGTCTTAGGAAAAAAATAAAGCCAGTTTCTTCCAAGCTGACAATGCATTGCTCTTTTCCTGAAATTGCAAACGAATGTGTTTAACTCCAGGGGCTGCTGCTGCTGCAGGAAATAAACACCAAAACCACCCCACAGAAGCACCACACAACCAGCATAACCAGAGCCTTGTGTCGTGGCCATCACACGCCCTTTGGGCAGGGTGACACTAATGCCCAGTGTCATTCTGCTGTTGCTCAAGGAGGCTCAAGCACACAGCCACCAGACGCTATTCACAAGGAACAAGAGCTGTTTTCCTTTTTTTCCTGGAGAGGTCAGGGAAAGCAGCAGCAGCCTGCTGAGATCAAGGCAGGTCCAGCAGAGCCAGAGCACCGTTCTCACTAAAGCAGGACAACTCTACATCTGGAGAAAGGAAAGTGACCAACAAAACACCTGACAGGGTTCTTTTGAACTGCTCAAGATCCAGAACTGGCCCACTCCAAATACTGGTACATGTTTTTGTTTACCAGCCTACAAAGCTGTTTCTCGGGCTATTTTCTCTCCACAAAGCAGAATCTCACGATATGCCTGACTTTGCTTGGCATGCACTTACCCACTTATCAGAGTTAACAGACTGCCAGCCAAAATAAAGACTGTGCTGCACAGAAACCAACTGTTCCCTACAGCTTCACCCGATGACGTTGTACTAAGGTCAGCCAAAGTTAAAGATTTTTTTGTAAATAGCCTTTGAAAATATAACCATGGCAAAGATGTTAAGCCTTATTTATATCCTTTATACACTGGAGGAAATAGAGCCTCCAGTCCAGTAACCTGACCACAGGCAAATATTTGTAGAGGAATCAATCCCATTTGCAGGCAAATGGTCCTTCACAGGTAGGATGGGACTTACCCAGTCCAGTAGCTGACTCAGGAGAAGCAGTCTCCTTGGGACAAGCTCCTCTCCTCCGTTTTGCTAGTTCATAAAAACCTTCACTACCTGTCTGTAGGGCTGAAGTGCCAGCACACAGAAGGGGTGGATGGTGTTCCTGGCAGAGAGTCAGACCTAAAGGGCTTCTGAAACCACAAAGTCCCTACAAATGCTTTAATACCTTTAGCTTTGTATCAGAATATTTCAGTGTTGTAGAGGAACGTTTGTAAAACACTTCATTAAAGTTCAATAAGTTTCTTTTGTGCCTACTGAGATGCTGCAGCACATGCCAATGTGTTTTAGAGGAGGCAGGACAGTTAACAAGCCTGTAACATAAACCGTGCCAGGATTTGTGGTTTTACCCAACACGGAGGAGAGCTAAGATGTCAGTGAGATTTTTATTGTAATAACTTGTCATTAAATGAATAAAAGGCAGGGTTAATAACTTGTCATTAGACAAGTAAAAGGCAGGATTCCCTTCACTGCACAAGCAACTCCATTTATCCCTACGGACGCTTACAAAAACCCATGAGCTTTGTACCCACGTCTATCCACCTCATACACGGAGCAAACCAGACGCCAAGGAGAACCTGAAAGCACTTCAGATACCTGAATAATTCAAAACTTCCTAATAGTAATATCTTGTGTATGTCTAATTTCAATATTTACCATTAATAAAACATTAATAAAAATAACTTCCACTTGCTCTTCTGGATAAATAGGTAGTTAGAGTCTACAACATGGCAAAGAATCACTAACAACAGCTGCAACCCAGAACTGCTGCTACCTGACAGCTGCAGTCTTGAGCCAGCCAAGGTGATACACAGCTTCACTGGGAGGGACATGGGTGTGCTGCCCAATTCCTTCTCACTACATTACTGGTAACAGCTTATTGTTATCAGAGTTTATCCGTGCCACTTTACTTAAAATAGATGAAAAAATCCAAATCTGAATAGTCCAAGTTTGGAGCCGTGGTCTCTTATGTGTTATTCTTTTTTTTTTTTTAATTCTTTTTTTTTTGGGTGCTTTTTCAAGGAGGTCTGATAAACAGCAGCCAGCTGTAGTTAGTATTTTATCATTGCTTTAATGTTTCCCTCCTACAACTGGAGATCTCTGTTAGGGGACACCAGCAGATGAGTTAGTGTCTAGAGGAAAGGAGGGTATGTGAGGTAGGGAGAAATTCCCTAAGGTCAGCATCTTCCTCTGCAGGATTTACCTCTGTTCCCACCCTCTTACCTCTGCCTTTTCATTTGGGCTAAACCAAATGTTTGTGTGACTGTCCTACACAGAGGAAAGGGTGGGCTATAAAGCTTGTAGACAGCAAGGCATCCAATACAAATTTGTTTCAAATTGACTATTAGTTTGACTTAAAAGCAAAGTTATCAACCCTAGCTTAAATCCTTGCCTGTTGCTGATTCCATTATTTATAGAGCTCAGTACTTTCCAAGTTGCTGCAGGAAGTTTTACAGTTTGCCTGCTCTACTGGAGTTAATAACTGTTGACAGAAATGATTGCAAATGAAGCTGCCCTCAACCTTCTGACTGCTTCCTTGTTTTTCTGACAACCATTGCTGGCACACACGTGGTTAAGAGCTGTTTAAATCCTCTCTGCCTCAATCTCATCTCCAGGGTGTTCTGACAGGGATTTTAACATCTCTACCTTTCCTCACAAAGCTCACACCCTCAGAGGGAAAAAAAGGAAACCAAAGTAAACCAGTTCATTTTACTTCCATCACGATGTTTCATTCAGTAACTGCACAAGGCAAAATTGTCTGATGGGAGCCTGTTTCTTTCAGTGTCCAAGCTTTAAGGTGTTGCCAATTGTGTCTCAGAAACCACTGGTTCGATGCTCAAGCCAAAATCTCTGCAGACACAGTTCTGCACATGACGAGCTGGAGGCAGAGGTCAGGGAGCTCAGTCTGCTCTGCTACACCCTCAACTGGCAGTCAGAGCAGCACCATCACAAACCTTAACACATCTCTTTTTAAAGACCAACTTTTCAGTAAGTGAAATGTTGAATTAGTTTATCCGAAAAACACAGGCTCCCGTGCTCAATTTCAGTCGACATACAGTCAAAATGTTTTTAAGTACTTCAAACAACAAACACGGTGTATTACTTTAAAGTCAGGTGTTGTTTCACTATGATGTTATTTACTACATGTGTGCCCTGTGGTAATACAAGGAGAGAGAAAATATCGAGGGAGTGGTAGGTACCACGTAGCTGAACTCACCTGGCATGTGAGGGCTTAAGCACTGTCTCTGCCAGCCTGGCCAAGTGCTTCCTGCCAAGGTAAGTTCATTTCTAACCTACTGAAGGAAACAAAACAATGGTGAAAGAGTGCAATTCACTATTAGGTGATATAAAATACAGGAAAAAAAGCATTGATAGCAACGCCATTTTATTAAAGAAATAAGACTTCTTAAGGTATTAAAATAATCAATAAAAATAATTACAAAAGGCTAAACGTGAGCTATCAAAAAAATAAGAGTTTCACCTGCCCTCTTCAATACAACTGCATATGATGAAGGCAGGCAAAAGGGAAAGAGTTTTGCTGTTATGCAACATCCCTAGCTATCCCAGGCAAATAAGTTCCTGCTACCATTTAAAGGTTTTCCATCCTCCAGAACCTTGGAAAAAATCTGAAGTTCAATACTATACTGCAAGGAATTGCTTTCTGTAACACTTTCTGTTACAGCAGTCACAGATTAAAAATCAGTCATACTTTTCAGAAGAGCTTAGTGCAGCTTTGCCCAGCTGAAGACAGCAAGTAATCTCTGCTGTGACAGAGCCAAGCTACTCACTTCCCAAACCTTTACATCCTTGTAACCCTCCTCCAGGCTGACTTTTTCCCTTGGTATCCACAAGAGAAGCTCAGTGTGCTGCTTACCAAAACCACGTCTGCTTCTAATGGGTTGTCCCCCTTGTCCCCAGTAGAGCACAGACACCTTCACTTCTGGGACTCTGCAAAGGGAACCCAGAAACAGAACTTAGCACTCGCCAAGATGTCAGAGGTACACGTTATCACAGAGCTGTGAATCTGTAGTGCTGGCCTTGCAGAAGTCTGTTTGCCTTTTCTCATATACAGAACTTGACTTTGACAAAGGTAAAAGGATGATACAGCACTTAATAAATTAGATTGAATGACAGGCTGCAACAATTTGTGTACAGCACCTAATCCCGGGCGCAGAGCGGGGCCACTCCTCGGGCAAGTGGCTCCTGACCATATGCAGGATGCCAACCTCCTTTCACAGCAAATCCAGTTAAGGATGACTTCAGCAAGGATACAGGAAGGGTAATGTGCCCCATCTTTTGCCTAAGCCTAAAAGTTCTCTCCTGTATTCCCTGCTCCCTCTCAGAGCTTCTGCTGAGACCTGGACCTTGACTGTCCAAGCACACAGGGAGAACATTCAGATAATCCCAGTGCTGCTATTAGCACGGAGACAACTAACATTACTCTGTAACAGAGATATTCAAACTTTGAATTTGGCCAGGTGACCCAGCTGACCCACCAGCAGAGGTGAACCAAGCAGCACTTAGGCATCCACACCTCTGAACTGCACCCAATCACATTCAGTATTCACATCCCCCATGCGATAGTGGAGAGAAACAGAACCCCAGAACACCCGATTCCTGCCTCTCCCTAGCAAAGTGGGCTGTTACTTGGGAGCACACATGGTGCTGTGCCTTTGGATATTCTGCAGCTTTGAACAGAGCAGCGGCACACAAATGGCAGAGGGATGAATCACTCCCCCCGTGCACAGCATCGCCTCCGTCGCTGCAGGACTCAGAGGCTCCCCGTGCAGAGCAGCCCCAGGCAGGGGCTCCCAGGGCAGTCCAACCCACCAGCTTTCAGTCCTGCCTCTCCTTAACATCCAGCTTCCTGCAAATCCTACAGGAGACGCACTGTACAACATTTACTATACCAACTCCTTCTAATCATAGGAAAATGAAGTTTAAAAAAGCTAGTTATTTTAAGACAAGCGCAATACTGAAGATGCAGCTACCTCAGGCAATCACTGAAATATCCAAATATCCCAAAACAACTCAGGCAATGAAAAGCAAAAATAGAGCCCTCATTCCTCACAGGGCTGTCCCCTCCCTCTCATGCTGCTTAGTGCCAACAAGAGATAAGAGCTGCAGATTGGAAAGGGCTGGATGCAGCAACCACAAACAACTGCTGTGCAGGATTAGCATGTAAGTGAAAGTCCCCTGGTTATCTGTCTCAGGATATGTGCTGGAATTTCAAAGGCTTGGGTTTTTTCCCCTTCATGTCCAGAACTGATAAAGGTTTTCCAGGCTTTTAAGCCAGTTTATAAGTGAATGGAGAAATTACACACTTGCTTTTCAAAATCAGGCACTACCTCTAGTTTACTTTAAAAGGCTTTTCAATAAGAGCACAGTTGATCACAGAATCATAGAATCATTTTGGTTGGAAAAGACCTTTCAGGTTGAACCCAGCACTGCCACATCCACCACTAAAACATCCCTATGGGCCACATCTACATGACTTTTAAATACCTCCAGGGCTGGTGACTCCACCACTTCCCTGGGCAGCCTGTTCCAATGCCTGACCACCCTTTCAGTGAAGAATCTTTCCTAATATCCAACTTGAACCTCTCCAGGCACAATTTGAGGTCATTTCCTCAGGACCTACTGCTTGTTACCTGGGAGAAGAGATCAACTCCCGCCTGTCTACAAACTCCTTTCTCAGTCAGAACACTGAGTTACTTAATGGAGGCAATTTCCATGTCACATTTCATCTCTCAAGCACTTAAGCAATGCATTTAAGGAACAAGAAAATCTCAAAATTAGAGGGAAAAACAGGAGAGAGGAAAATGTTTCTTCTTACTTCACTTTATGATTTACATGCACAGTGGGAATGGGGTTTTTTTGCTGTTAAATGGTATGGCTGTGTTGATATGAGTCTTTATGCTGACAAAATCTGGAAGCCTAAAACAAGTACTGACTTTAAAAAAAAAAAAGGCAAAAACCCCCTACAAAATAAAAAAAAAAATCCCATCCCACCCAGCCTCCCCCACCAGACACATAATCACAGAAGCCAGGAACAAAAACAAGTGCTTTCTGCACTGTTCTGACGATCTCACCCAAGCTTTGGGAAGTAGCAAGCAAAGATGAAGTACCAAAAGAAACCTTTGGGTGAAAATACCAGTAGTTCAGAGAACAGCAATGCCAGCAGGTACAGCCCTCAGCAGCCACAGTGTTATTTTTCATCCAGGAAAAAGAAGTCTTGTTAAAAGCAAAGAACACTCTGTGCTTGGTAGCTGTCTAATTTCATGAAAGTAAAACTGTACCCAGTCAGCCTGTCCTGAAATCCTCCCTCCAGTGCAGCGGTTTGTTCACCAGAACTGCACAGAGCTCAGAGCAGCCTGAAGGCAAGAGGGGAAGAGGATGCTGAAAACTTCTTACGGGTTCTGCTCATGTTTTAACTAAGCTGCTTGTCCAAACAACCGTGTATGCTACCATTATGTCCGAATTTGGCCAGAAATACTTACAAAGTACTAATTCTGTTTGATTTTTCCATGCTGGGTGGTTTTTTTCCCCAATGTCTCAGACTACAGGTAAGCAAACATTTACCACTACAGACTCCACCAGACCACAGACAAGAAAGAATATTAACTTTACCTACCCCTCTGTGAAGAAGAGCAGGATGCCCATTGTTGATGAAAGCCTGTTTTCTAAATGGGTAAGAGCAAACCAGTGGATTTCCTTAGCAAGCACACAGCAAGGCTATAGAAGAAAAGGCATGAAGAAGATGCAGAGTTTCTCAGAAACCCCATCTGCAGGAAGCTTAGCCAAGATTTAAGGAACCCAACTACACAAACTATAGAGGAATGCCTATGGAAGGGAAAGCTACTAGTTATAGAGAAGATCCAAAACTCTCCAAGAATCCAAAATAATGCTCAAAACTGGTGAATGAAGAGAAACAAAATATCAGAAATGAACATAAGTTTTTGATATAGAATGCACAGCTGTTTCCTTGCCCTACGTAACATGGAAGGATACAGGTTCAACACATCTTTCAGCAAAGCCCACAGTTCTTGCAATTATCACCCCCCCTCATCTGTAGTAGCTGCAAATCCATAGTCTGAAGACCACCCCCACAAACATTCCCCCACAGCAGGGGAAAATGCAAGGTGTACCACCAAAGGTGTCAGAGACTCTGGCCAAGCCCCACACTGAGGTTAGACTGCTCTAAGGCATGGCACTGGGTCCAAACAAAGTGGCCTCTCGGTTTATTATGATGCCGTAACACTGTTCTGAATGAACTAGAGTGGAAACTGAGATTTTCCTCTATATACGTTGTACAACTTCCATCCCAACAAATCAATCGTGGAGTCACAGCCTACCTATTAACAGTCCTCTTCAGGAATACATTACAACACCAAGCTACTTATACTCAAGCTAAAGCTTAAGATCTAGCCTTGTTTGTAAAGGTGCATTACTGTCCCCCACAGGTGCCAGGCAGAGACAGAGCGCTGCAGAAGACAATGAGGGATGCACAAATCCTTACAAGCAAGAGAGCCCCTCCTGCTGCTATCACTGGCTGCTGCCCAGCCTGGGGATCCTGCCAGCAAGAACTGATGAGCAGCAGCAGCAGCAGCAGCTAAAACAGTGGATCGGTATCTCAGTCTGACAGGGTCGTGCTTTATTGTAGTAGCTGTCACAAGATTCAACTACAACCATATGGAGCTGCAGACCATAAGGTATGAATGAGGTACTCTGGCTTGCTTTGTGATGCCCTTAGGAAAGCAAAGGCTGTGCTGGATTAACACAAATGAAAGTCAGAAGGAAGAAGACAGCCAGGATGTGCCCAAGATCAGCCAGAGAAAAGCACAAGAAAGGCAGCACAGAACCCCATTCTGTTCTTTAATCTCCAGAAGCCAACTGTAAAAGGGCAAATCAGACTTAGGAAAGCAACAGGAAAGCCATTTTTCCGTGTCTCACACAGGAAGGTGCAGGAAAACACAGCTCCACGTTTTAAAATCATAACTATTGACTGGCAGAAATCAACAGAGGAGTAAGAGAACAAAGTGACAAGGTAACAACCAGATGCTCCAGCTGTACAAAAGCTGCCCAGAATTGCAACAAAGAACTATGTCAGCCTTAAAAATCAGTCTGTCTCACGGCTCTCCCCCGGTATTTGTTTCCTTGAATTTCATCCCTCCAAACGTGCCAGCTCCTACTTGGAGCAGTCGCCGCCTTCGCGCCTGGGACGCAGGGAGGCCGCCAGCCAGGCGAGGCAGTCGTGCCCCGCACAGCCTGGCGGCACGGCCGGCTCTCCCCAGGGCCCTGCCCACAGAAAACACCTTGTCCCCAGGGCCACGAGCATCACCAGGCTCTACCCAACCCCCTGTGCAACTTGTACAAACCAAGATGATTTCAAAGCAAGAATGTGCTCAGCAGAACATAATGTTCAGAAGAAAACTAATTTGTATGTACTTGAAGGTTAAAAATGCCACTTTGTTAAGGCTACAGTATAAATCCCTCTTTTTTTACCTTTTTTTTTAAAAAAATCCTATATTTAGGAGCCTAATTTGGACTCCTACTTCCTGAACTATGAGAAAGCATATGACATTTTTAAATGTTTTACAATTTTTGCCGTGGCAGATCTTACCCTGCTAAATCTGCATTTTATAACGTGCCAGATGAAGGCGAACTGCCCTGTATGGGTTTGTGCTGAAGCTCATTAAAGGTATTCGTGGCAGAACAGGCAGGGGCTGACAAACCTTCACACCACCTCGGCCAGCAAATACACAAGTGTCACGTCTTCCCTGCAGCAGGAGCACAGCTTGGAGAGGACCTGCCACGCCGTTTACCTTCCCACTCTGCATCATCCCCACTGATGTCCACAGTGCCACCTCACCCCAGGAATTCCTACGGGCGCCCCACTGGAGCAGCTCAGTTTCGAGGACTCCGTGGCCGGCAGCCTCGGCACGAGATGATGGGAGGAGTAAAGGCAGGACCGCCGCCTGTCCCGAAAAACCCCACCTCAAAGCCCGGCTCTCCTTCGTCTCCTCCACAGCTCAGGAGGCTGCAGGCCGGTCGTGCCCGCGGCCACGGCTCGCCCCGCCGGCGGGCGCATCCCTCCCCTCCCGGTTCCCCCGGTGCCCGCAGGACCGCGGCCCCGAGCGATGGAGCCGCGCACCTACCGGCGCGCCGGGGCGGTGTCCGTGCGGGCAGCATGCTGCAAGCGTGGCCCCGCCAGCACGATCCCCGGCTGCCCCTTCCTCCGGAGGTGCCCGCGGGGTCCGGCCCTCGTCCCGCCGACGCCGCCGCCTCCTCCAGGCTCCCGTTCCTGAACGGCAAAGACGCAAACCCACCGTCAGAGCCCATGCTGGCAGCACCCCCCGACCCCCGCCCGGCCCCGCGGCGCTCGCACGGGTCGCGCCGGGAGGGCCCCCCTCGCCCGCCGCCGCTCACGCCGCTCCCGCCGCTCCGCCGGGCGCTCCCCGCCCTCCCCGGGGCGGCGGCGGCTCCGGGCGGGGCGCGCAGGGGCGGGAGCGCCGCCGAGCCCCGGCCCGGCACCTGCCGCCCCGCCCCGCACGGTCCCCGCTGTCCCCACCCCGGCCGCATCCCTCCGCCCCGGCCCCGGCGCCGCCTCAGCGCAGCAATGGGCCCTGCCATTTAAAATGAGGGAAAAAAGGGGGGGAAAAAAAAAAATCACCCAGGCAGGAAAGCCGCCTCTCATTGGCTTCTCCTCCTTTAAATCCTCCTCCCCCTCTACTCAGCCCTAGTGAGGCACATCTGGAGCGCTGTGTCCAGTTCTGGGCTCCTCAGTACAAGAAAGATGAGGAGCTACTGGAGAGGGTCCAGCGGAGGCCACAAAGATGATGAAGGGTCTGGAGCATCGCTCTTCTCTAGACTGTGAGATCAGTCTAGAGAAGAGAAGACTGAGAGGGGATCTCATTAATGCATCTAACTATCTCAAAGTTGGTTGCCAAGAGGATGGTGCCAGACTCTTTCTTGTGGTGCCCAGTGACAGGATGAGGAGCAATGGCCATAAACTAAAACAGAAGTTTCACCTCAACATGAGGAAGAACTTCTTTACACTGAGGGCGGCAGAGCAATGGAACAGCTGCCCAGGGAGGGTTTGGAGTCTCCCTCTCTGGAGACATTCAAACCCCACCTGGACATGTTCTGTGTCACCTGCTCTAGGTGACCTTGCCTTCGTAGGGTGGTTGGACTGGATGATCTCCAGAGGTCCCTTCCAACCCTAATGATTCTGTGGTTCTGTGAAATGTGGGGAAGCCTGTTCAAAGGATGGAGTTGCCATATAAGAGCTTAGGGCCATCGCAATCCCATGTTCTACTCAGCCCTGTGCCAGCACTGAGGTGCCGCAGTGTGGTGAGCACATAAGGACTGGTGAGAGTTAAAGTGAAGGAAACAGTGGGAAAGGCTGTGGGTGAGGCCTGGGTGATGCTACTCTGATTTTACCCTGTCAGGCAGCATCAAATAATGTACAACCACAGAAAAATATTAATTATACCAAAGCTTTTTAAGAAATGTCCACACCCCAAAAGAAAGCTTCCAGAATGAAGGAGCTGAGCAAGCTAAAGTAATGTCCAACTTAAACCTCCCCTGGCACAACTTGAGGCCATTTGCTCTTGTTCTATTCCTGTTACTTGGGAGAAGAGACCAACCCATCTTGCTACAAATGTCTTTTCAGGTAGTCTCCCCTGACCCTCCTTTTCTCCAGAGTGAACAACTCCAACTCCCTCAGCCATTCCTCATAGACCCTTCAACAGACCCTTCAACTCTCAGCCATTCCTTTCTAGACCCTTCAACAGTTCTGTTGCCCTTCTCTGGACGTGCTTCAGTACCTCAGTGATTATTGTCAAGCAGGTTTGTAATTGTCAAGCAGGTTTCTAATGTATTTACAGTCAGTCATTGGCCAGCCAAGGAATTTCTTGCGGTGTTTTCCAAGCCAAAAAAACCCACTACACTGGTAACATCAGTCAAGAAAAACGCTACTGTAAATGTACTTGCTGGGTCACAGAGAGCCAGGGGCTATACAGGCACAGAAAATAGGAACCACATCCCTCTGGTCTCTAGTGCCTGGCAAACCCCAAGCCCTCCTCCCCAGCGCAGAGAGCTGGGGGCAGGGAGCAGGCAGCCACCCCTGTACACTTCCACAAACAAAATCCAGCAGTTCCTTGTACAAAAGGATCACTGCTTACAGCTGTTGTCATGACTTTTCAACAGCACACAATATCACACTCAGTACTTGTAAACACTCCACTGGTGAATTACAAACCCACAAATTTTACTAATTGCTGCCTTTGGGGCCCAGAGAAAGCATTCTGCTGACAAGTGCTGTGCACAGGGTTTGCACACACTGTGTTTGCTGCATCATTTCATCCAGCTCTAACGGGAATCACACTCCCTCTAAAAGACTGAAGGGAGAGTTTCTGGTGTTGAGGTGCAACAGGGGGACAAAGCTTGACCCTCCCCATCAGCAGCAGTTCCCAGGGAAGGCAACCTCAGCTGCACATCAGCTCCAGTTCCTCACATGTGGGATTTTTACATTCAGAGTTCCCAAGCCAGGATTAAGCCCCTTGGGATCTAAGCACACACATGCAAGTGTGCAGGAGCAGGTCTGAGGAGCTTGACCCAAAGCCTATTAAAGCTGGTGGCACTATGCCCTTTGATTTCAAGGAGCTTTGACTTGGGACCCACTGACCTGGGTAGATATTGGCCAGATGTTTTATTACTGTTTTAGTTCACCTGTAGGTGGCTGGAGGAGAAAGTTAAATAAACTCCTATTTAGCCCTGAGAATTAAAGAAAGACAGAGTACTGGAAAGGCACAGTTACCTCGCAGTAACACAGCAGTATTATTACAACAGTGATTTTTAAACTATATACAGTTTTTAAACAAGAATTTTGTAAGTAAATTATGAATATCTTTGTAATGTTTTATGGCTGTTCTGCTCTTTTTTATTCTAGCCTGGTTTCTAATGCAAGGCTCCACTTTTAACTTCACCTCTTAAGTGAGTGCAGCTCCCCCCAAGCTACTCTAAGCCATGGGGCAGATATTCCACAGGCTGCAAGCACACTGCTGGTGTCCAACTGGATCACTTCATTACACCCCAACAGAGAATACTCTGGTACAGCTGCACCACTCTCCTGTGTCACAACCTGACAACAAGCCTTGTCTCTGAGCAGCAGCACCTCAGTGTAATGTGGGGATGGGGGGACAGGGGTTAGGGAGAGGGAGGAACATGTGGTGAGAATTTTGAGCCAGTATTTATTTCTGGGTGCCAAAACAGATTTAATATTTTATTAGCTGTGGAGTTTGCGAGACAGCTGATTATGTTAGGCTCCAGCAAAGCAGTCAGTCTTTTTAAATGCAGAGTATCCATTTGAAATGACTACTGCCAGGCACAGGCCAGCAGGAGATGAAATATTTAGCTCATGAAGCATTTCAATGTGCAGGGCTGGGGCCAGACATGGGTGCTGTGATGTTGAAAACTACAGTGCCCAAATCTGAGATGCCTCAGCCCCAGCACAGAAGCCTCAGAGGTGCAGCAGCTGCCCAGAGAGCGGGGCTCTGGGGCCCTCAAGGTCCCTCACCCTCTGCCAGGGTGCAGGAGCCTTTGCTGTGCATGGATTGGTTTGGGAGGAGATAGCCATCAAAGCCTTTCCTGGGACTCAACTTCCCAGATCATGCTGCCTCTTGCACCCCTTTCACCAGTGTCAGTGGCTGAAAGCATTTTCCTATAGGGATAAGGAAGGCACTCTCCCTCCAGAGAAAATGGTTTTGAAGCAAGTTTGACTCTTTGTTGTCATAAGATCTGATATTTATTCTATTAGATATTTTTATTATTTACTATTTAGAGTCTGCTAGGTCTTCCTATAATATAGTCCAAACCCTCTACATACTTGGCATGCCCTGCTCTGTGTGCACATTTTTACCCCGGTGGGGACAACTGCCTGGATGTCCCCAGAGTGATAAAAGCGCTTTCTGATAAGATGGATGCTGCATCAATACCTTTGCTATGGGGGAAAACGGTGCAAACTGAACCACAGAAATAACTGAATGGTGTTAGGATTGGCAATGCTGGAATGGCAACCAGGCTGGACAATAGCTGTGCTGAAGCTTCAGAGAAACCTGGGTAAGAAACCGCTAACATACTACTTTCAGGTTAAAATTTGCCACTTTAACCTCTGTACCAGAAGGCAAAGTTTTAACAAGTTTGTCTAAGGGTAACAGAATAAATGAAATCTGGTTACTCCCTCCCTCTGATAGAATTTCACAGTTCCTATCCTCTTCCTTCCACCTGCTACCCTTCACAGTTTCTCCACGTCTTCAACCCCCCCTTCAAGCCTTCAGTTCCTCCTCTATGTCCCATAAACCCACAATATCCTACTTTCATTTCTGTACTACTCATATGCTCTTCTGCTTGGCAATATCTCAGCTTCCTCCCATTTCACCTGTGCCCAATTTACCGAAACCCCAGCTTTCTTCCACATCTTCAGACCTGTGATGTGTGGTTGGCCAGGTGGGCAGCAGCAAGTAGCACATGATGTGGTTTTGACAAAGTGCTGCCCAAACAGCCAGTCTATCAGTCCTACACACCCACAAACACAGGGTCAGATTCTCCCTGACCTTCTTTCAGAAAGCAGAGAAAATATAATTATTTTTCCCAAGCACTTCTAAAGTTAATTTAAGAACGCATTGACATGGGATGTGGCATTCAAAAAAAAGGGCTACAAAACTCCATGGATCTGTCCAAATCCAGCTGACAACTCAGTCCCCAGTCAGTGGTCACTGGCTGAACCACTTCATCCTCACTCTGTTTCTTAATTAGCTTTTTAACTATACATGCATACACCAGCATTAGGGAGAGCTTTACTGACATATGTATTTCTAATTCAGCTGAAGAGGAAAAGGGAAGCCTGGGCAAGTATTCTCTGCCCCAGTAGCTCTCCCCCAGCATGGCCACGATCACGTGGTGACTTTACAAAATCTATTTATACGAGCAGTAATCCACTCACTGTGTAGGGGTTGGAAAATGTTACGCAGTCTGAGAAGAATCAATATGGACACTAAAGAGCTAGAAAGCCCCAAAGATTGTTGTTGTTGACTAAAATCTCCTGATATTCCCAAACCCTTGAAGTTTTACCTGACATGTCACGACCACCTTGCAATAGAGTACTTCAATAGAGTTTCAAAATCAAATCCATGATGCAAAGGAGGTCACAGTGTCACTGCAACAAACAGCTTTATAGACTAAGCAGCAGTTGCTTAAATAAGGGCTCTATTTTCAAAAACTTCATTGATGGGAAAGAATTTCCTTTCCTCAGCTACGGATTTTTCTCCTTTTTACCTAATTCTTGTTTCATCATGCACTGCTCTCGTATTCTGCGCACAACTGAGGTTCACCAGAGCCTTTGCTCAGAGCTCCTATTTTCTTAAAACACTTCCTCGATGTTTGCAACCAGGTTGATTAAAAGTAAGGATAAGTATGATTAGAGTATGCCCAAGCACATGCCATGGAAGTCACTCAGGGCTGCCCTAGTTTTCATCTCTGTTACTACCAGAAGTACATGACAGTGGGGATTGCATGACTGCTCCAAACCTTAGGGCACAACATTGATTTCTAGATCATGATTATTTTTGGAACATCCCATCTTCCTGCTCTCAAAAAAGGGTTTGAGGGTTTTTAACTTCAGGTTTAGAATATAAATTTAAAGCCTAATTCCACTTTCTTGTATGAAGAGATCCTGAATGTTTAAAATATAATGTTTAACCCATTGCTATTAATTTGATTTTTTTTTGGTTGTTACCTGGATGTGCATATACTGCCATACCTCAAAGGAGAAACACAAAATTAGTGTATTCACTGAACTTCGTACCCATTAAAGAATCCCCAGCACTTTGTGATTATCACAATGAGATATTTGAGGAAAGACTTGTTTTTTTTTTAAAAAAAAAAGGTAAAGTACCCCATTTAGCAGCAGCACTTGAAGAACATGCTCAGTTTCCCTCATGTACTTACACTTCAGTGTGTCTGGAAGCATTTCATTGGGTAGGGGCTGAGCTGTAGTAATTAATTTCATCTAGTCACCAACACCTGTGCAAAGACATTTGGAACTACTTAAGCCACCATATTTGCAAAATTTTCCATAAAAAACCAGCATCGTTAACTAGAATTTGTCTAGATGTGCTAAAAAGATAGTTATGGCAATGTTACACTCTAAAGGCACTCTGCTCAAATAAATTATATGGAATACATAGGTATTAATTCTTTTCTCCCACAGAGCAACTATATTTACCAGCAAAATAAAAAAACAAGAAAGTAGAATGATAAAATCAAGTAGGTTGGAAAAGACCTCTAAGATCATCAACAAGAGAGGGAAAATAAATTCCACATTTCTATACAGCACAAATGCTTATCCCACTGAATGTAATAGTCGTTAGGTGTTTTTGTTTCAATATGTGTTAGCCATTAATTCAGAATTAATAGAAAGTTTGTAGTGGAAGTCTATTTGGGCAATTTTAGGAACATTTAAAACAAAATTTGGGCTCTTGGGCCCTTTCAGGTTTTGTGTCCTACAGTGGGGGGTGATGCTGATTCCCTGGGACCCTCTAAACTCTGTCCCAATAGAGCTTAGAGGGCAGTGAGGTCCCCAGGGGCAGTGAGTGTCTCTGAGTAATAACCACAGAGCAAAGACATCCGAGGAATTCAGAAGCAGCCAAGAAATCCTTAAAAAGAATTCTGAGTATTAATTATCATTTGAGATGACTACTTTCCAGAAAAGTGGAACTTCTTCCAGCAGGAGGAGGTTGAACATTACAACTAAAGAAGTTTGACTGAGCCCCAACCCGGGCCCTGTGCTAACAGAGGGGTACACCCTGTTTTCCACACACTGGCCTCAGGTCTAGGGCTGATCTCGGTGCCACAGCAATAACTAGAGGATTTTTGTTCTAAAGAAACCTTTCTGCACAGTGGCTCCTTCCATGGTGTTTACAGAGGCCGAGCACCAAATGGCCGAAGCAGCACTGCACGTTCATCATGAAGGAAAGATGAAACAGCGGCAATAAAATCTCCCCAGGAGCTCCGGGCAAGAGGCAGCTCTAGCTTTTGCTTCAGTTTATATATGAAACTTCCAGTTGAGTTTGGCAGAAGGGCAGCAGTGAGTCTGAACATATGTTGGCTCTGAGAGGCCACGTGGCTTCTGCCACCCCAGGGCCCGGCAGCAGCCCCGGTGTGGTTTGCACCAGCCTGTGCAAACACGGGCACTTACCTCCTTGTGAGCCAAGAGTGTCCTTACCCCCGTGCAGTGCAGTGCTGGGGAAAAAGAAAAACAAACAAAAAGCAAATTTTATTTCCTTTTTCTTTCAAATAAGGCAGTATACCAGCAAGAGAAATATTCCTAATTTATATGCAAGTCCTCTTTTTTTTTTATCAATATCTACCAGTGCTAAAGCATGAAGCCTGGGCAGACATGAAATCCACAGCCCTGGAAACACCGGGAAGCAGCACAGCGAGGGGATTAACCAAACATGAGGCATTAGAATATTGCAAAGAGGATCGAAAGAGATTTGTGACTGAAAAGCCACCCACCAGAATTACAGTCAGCTGAGAAGCTGGACCGAGAAAAAGTGGGTAAATGTTTTGCATTTAGATCTCTCCCAGAATAAACTCAAACTTTGGGATGTGCACTGCAATTGACATCAGGCTTCCCTGCGACATGAGGCTGCAAACAAAGTAACCTTCTTTCTACGTGGAAAATTATAGCTTTGTGACAGCCAAATATTACCTGGAAAAACAGCAAGAAATCACACTGAAATATGGTCACTGGCATGTCTAAAACAAAGAGCCCCAAGGGCAGCAATAAAGCAGTAGCTGTACAAAAAATTCCACACAAAAGGAAATAATACTGAGAAATAAGAAGAACTTAAGGACCCAATCTTCCCATAGCATTTCCTTCTCCAAAATAAAAATGACTCTCAGGGTTCCCACTCCAAAAAAAATACTAAAATTAATTATTGAACATGAAATTGCCTCCCAGCAGAGATAAAGACAGACATCACTGCAGATGAGGCTGTGGATTTGCAGAGCAGGGACACACTAAGACCCTGCTCCCCTCCTGCTCTTGTAACATCTGTGGACATTAATGTACTTCATGGGGAGAAGTCACGTGTTTCAGAGAAATATTGTACCAACGTCTGTACCTTCAAATTTTCACATTGAGATCAACATCATTATGAGCAAAAAGTTCTCCCTTCTTATCCTCCCCTGCCTTGCTTTCACAGTTAGCTTTGGCTTCATCTGTCTTCTCTTCTTCCTCCTACCTTCTCCAGACCTAGCAGGAGACAGGAGGGCACGAGCAGCCATGAGGATGTTTGGCTGTTTACTGGGCTTAACCCACCCTGTTATTTCATCCCACCTTTGTTCAGAGTAAATCATCCTGCCCCTAAGAACTAATACGTTCCCTGAAACATGCCCTTTGTGTGTTTTTATGGACAAGGCTAAAATGGGTGTGAAATGGAGAGTTTTTCCTAGCACCTGTAGGAACTCCCCAAACCACCTCTCTCTATAAGATCAGTTTTTTCACTTTCAGAAGTAAAACAGTACTAACATGTGATAGGGTGAACTCCTGTTGCCACCAGAGCAACAGTAATGGCTCTTGCTATTTTAAGAGCCTGGCCCATTTCTTTCAATATTCCTTGAGGGCAGGCATGCATCCCCCTCACTTTAGAGAGATTACAGGCAGCCCACGGAGAGACCACCAAAGCCTCTCCCTGCGCTGCAGTCTGAACTGGTCAGGGCACTAATGAGGTGAGCAATAACACTGGCTCCCTTTGAGCACAAAGCAAATGGATTTTCAAATAGGAAATGAGCCAGAAGATGCCTTAGAAGGAAGCTGGGGTAGTGACTCCCTCAGAGGCTACATTAAAGCAAAGACAGGGGACTGAAGGATACAAATGCTGAGGATACACATCCCTTGGGGAGATTTATGGGTGACTGAACCAGAACTGTTCCTGCTGCTGAAGAATTCCATTTCCCTAAATTGCCTTGCTGGCTGAGATCAAACCCTCTGTACTTTTTCTCATACACCGACATCAGTTTTTCAGCACAAATGGCAAATAAATTCTTTTATAAAGTCACAAAATTACTTCAGCTGTCACTGAAATGAGAAGATAAATTTGAAATTAATTTTCATCAGAGCCAAAGTTACCAACAATGTCATCATGGTTACCTCAAATAATAACTATTTTGATACCCATAGACATTATTCAACACACAAATTATCTAATTATTTTATCTGAGATACCATTCAATATTAGACATCCTTTCCACTGTATCATGAGATTTTCAGCTGCACCATCTTCAAATCAGAACTCTTGTACACAGTGAAATTTATGACAATATATAGATCAAACAGCAAGATGCAGTAACCTTTTTAGGAGGTCATAAATAGAAATATTATCTGTGACCACATAATAGCAAAGAAGAAAATAATGAATTTCATTCATTCTATAGATAGACCCTGATACCCATGACTTTGCAATTTGATTTCAACAGAAAAAAAATAACTTTTAACATTGAACAAGTACTTTATCCTGAGGGACAAAACTGTCTTGAGGACATCATCAACATTGCAGAACAATTCCACTGAAATAAATGTTAGTTATGGATGGTCTGTGCAATGGTGAATGTACACTGAGAGAGCATGAGACTGTGTTTCAGGAGCCTTTTTTGACTAGAGTTCTGCTTTCAAGTCTCATTTTTCCCTATTTCTAGTTAATTTTATTATATCAATTCCTACTTAAATATAGCATTGAAAAGAATATTTCAGTTGGAAAATGGAGTTAGATGGCATAAGCTTGCTACACATTTATTTCATTAAGGCGGGGCTTCAGAGAAAAACTATTTCTGAGCACATGTAGAAAAGTCTTTATGAGTAAAAAGACTCAAAGTGTTTGATCCGATAATATGCGTGATTCTAAACAACCTATTGATGCCTATGATCTACTGCTAAAAAAGATAAAAACTGAGCTGGCATGTCACTAGCATATGATTTGAACCAGTAGAGGGTTTGTGGAGTAAGTTTTGGGACAGGGTATCACCAGGATTAATACCTTGGTTTTAGTGGTCAGTGTTGATTGAGAGAGAGCGTTCACCTTTGACAGGTGGTGGGTGCACTTGTAGGTTTGGGGCTGGGAGAGGCTGCTGAGCTAAGCGAGGGCTGGAGCTTGGGGCAAGTCAGATGCTAGAGCAAAAACAAACATCCTGCAGTGCACTGCCAATATGCACTGAGAGGGGATGCCAGAGCATTGAGTTAGGCAAAGACAAACAAGGTTTAGACTGCAAGAAAACTGGGATCTAAGGCAAAAACATGTTTATAGAAGCCTGCCAAAAAAAATCCCAAAGCTACAATATCCATTACTGGAAGTTTGATGGTGGTAGCTCCAATTTCCATCCATCTTCCAGTAAGCTCTGGCTTACAAAAGAGTACATCTTGGTCAGTATTAACTGATGCTGTCCTTGTTTCCAAGCAGAAATGTACATGAGAAAATGTCATAAACTAGTATGTAAGAATTAAACCACTCTGGATTAGCCTTTGGCTGCTGTAGAGCACCATGAAGCATCAGACATCCTGTATCATTTCTGTTTGGGATAGAGTCCCAATTTTTGACAAGTCAGATACACACAGACATATATATGTATACACATACACAGAGCAGATTATTAGAGCACAAAATTATGATCCAATAGCTAATAAACCTGAGAGGTGTCTTGAAGGGAGTTTCAGTATGATGTTATATGGTTATGTTTTGATAAAGTAGTTAATAGAAGAAAGGTAGTATAACCTCTGAGAGACAAATGGACAACAACAACAAAAAAAAAAATCCAGGAAGGCCATCCTATCCCAGGTGATCTGCCAACAACCCTACAGCTTAATACTGGAACTTAATTCCTACTAATGTGAATTACTTCTCCCTTTCTTTCTAGCTGTCCTTTCCTCCCCTTGCCCTCAAGTCAGAAGTCTGCTTTTTGATGTCTGAATTAAATATTGTTCATCTCGCACAGTTCGGAGTTCAAGATCCTACTTGTACATGGCATGACCTCTGACTAGCTGGAAAAATTCACTCAAATACAGGCTCTGTGATGAGAGGCCAACAACTGGATGCAGTTTCCACAGCAAAACTTGTGTCACTTAGCTTCAAAACAAGCCTGCATTTATTGAACTAAAGGAGTTCAGTGGCACAGCCAAGAGCTCAAAAACACGCGCGGTCTGACAAATTCTTTTCAGCCAGCGTCAACAGTACCCACAGACAGACAGGCATTTCAAGCCTCAGTTCTTCTGAATCAGAGAGGATGAATCAGGATGAATAGTTTCAGCCAAACAAGAATATTCAGTGGTTTTATCTATCTCATCTGTGAATAGCATCACATACTACCAGTAAATAAATAACTGCTTAATGCCTGCAACCTGTATCACTTGCCACCTCCTTACCCATCTGCCTGCACGTGTACAGGGGCTCATCAGGGCAGTCTCTTGGAATCCGTGCATTCTGTTCTCACAACTGTCCTCCAAGTGGACAACTAGATTTACCTTTCAACAGTGGGGAAAGGAGGGACAATGAGGGGGAACAGGTGTGGAAGCTTGGAAAATGTGTAGGCTCAACGTGTGTGCGCAATCAAAGGCGGTGCAGAGCGAATGGAGCTGGCTCTGCACAACCCGGGGTGTTGCACTGGACATGTGTAATTATTCTGTGCCATATGGCTCTGTGTTGCAGTGACAGGAGGGATGTGTCACCTCCCTTGGAGTTGGCTCTGGTGCCTTAGCAGAGCGTGGCTTTGTGGGTGCAGGCATGGCCAACAACCAGGCAGGCAGAGCTGCTGGGAGTGGGAGAAGGAATAAGGTCTCTGTTGAACAATTAGTCCTCTCACTGCTATTGGTGTCAGGTTGGAAACATTGATTTGTCCAAGGTCACCCAAGCAACTTAGAGAGTAGAACCAGAAAACTGCCCCTTCAGTTTGTCATAGTCACTTCACAGAGCAAGATTTCATATAATGAAGAGAGTAATTCGCATTTGCGTGACAGAATTAACAATTATTTCACTCGAGCCATGACCCGAGTTTTAAGATTCTGAAACCAAATAACCTTTCTTCAGTGCCTGAACTGATCCTTTAAGCTTCATCAGTTACATTTTTCTATACCAAAAGAAAGATCCTAGGCCACTACCTCTTGTTTATGGCTGTGAACAACTTGCTGCCCAATTTACTACTGGCTTGATTTTAATTAATAAAGAAGTTAACAAGATTTTTTTAAGTCT